CATCAGGAGCCTCTGACAAGAGCGTGTTCCCACTTACAAACCTGATTGCAGGAGGTGTGGCTGGGAGCCGGGGGAGGGGGCTGCCAGCCTCTCCAGGAAGGAAAGTTGCCATGGAGGGGCCAGGCGGCTGGGCAGAGGGCCTGGGGGCCCGGGAAGGCCTGGGTTCAGAGTTTCCCCCGTTTTAACAGTTACCGATGATTTGGCATCGACTACATACTGGACATGCAGGCCTCCACTAATCCTCCGGAGAATGCCCGGCAGGAGATGACTATCAGCCCCCTCTGCAGATAAGAAACTGGAGGCACAGAGTGTCCCCACTGCAGGCTGACTGTTGCCCGAGGTCTAGGTATTTTATTGACATTTTATCTCCTTCCAATCTCCCTATAACTTTAATCCCATTCCACAGGGGAAGAGGCAAGGCTCGGAGAGAGTAACCAACTTGTCCAAGATCACAGAGCTGATTTATAGATGACTCCAGAGGACACACTTAAATTGTACCAGAGCCAGGCATTCTGGATAGTGTGACTAGATTTAGCAAAATAACAAAACCCAGCCGAAACCGGTTTGGCTCTGGATAGAGCGTCAGCCTGCGGACTGAAAGGTCCCAGGTTCGATTCCGGTCAAGGGCATGTACCTTGATTGCGGGCACATCCCCAGTGGGAGGACATGTGCAGGAGGCAGCTGATCGATGTTTCTCTCTCATCGATGTTTCTAACTTTCTATCCCTCTCAATTCCTCTCTGTAAAAAAATCAATAAAATATATATTTTAAAAATAACAAAACCCCAAAACCGGGATGGCCAGTTAAAATTTGAGTTTCAGATAAACAATTACTACTTTTTTTTCTTTAGTGTTATAAGTATGTCCTAAATATTGCATGGGATATACTTATACTAAAAATGATTCCTTGTTTATTTGAAATTTAACCAAATGTCCTGCCATTTATCTGGCAACACCGGACCTCTCTCCTTCGGCCTCAAACTCCCTTCTCTTTTGCCAGCTGTTTGCCGTTAGAGGTGGGCCCTAAGAGAGCCAGGCGGTATCTCCTCTGCTCCAGGGGGCAGAACCCTGGACCAGTGCCTGCTCCACCACCTCCTGTGTGGCTGTGGGCCCGTCTATCCCCCTCTCTGAACCCCCTTGAAAAGTAAGACCCAGGATCAGATCATTGCAAACATTCTTGTCAGCCCTAACTTTCCTGTTGTCTTCACCCCTTTTTCCATCTGTGCAAAGGAAGGTGTGAAATACATGGTTGTGGCCTGGCTGGTATGGTTCAGTGGTTGAGTGTCGACCTATGAGCCAAGAGGTAATGGGTTTGATTTCCGGTCAGGGTGATCCCCACTTTGGGGCACGCATGAGGCAGCCCATCAATGATCCTCTCTCATTATAGATGTTTCTCTCTCACTCTCGCTTTCCTCTCTGAAATCAATACAGATATTTTTAAAACAAACAAACAAAAACAGGCAGTTGTGCTGTGAGGACAGAAGATAGCCAACACCTGGGACAGAAATGGCCAGGGAGCAGGGCTGGGCGTGAAGGCTAGGGACTCGGGCTGCTGGGAAATGGGCTGCTACTGTCTCTAGCTCTCAGAGGCGGCAGCGCGCTGTAGCGTTCAGGCCTGAGTTCCAGGCCCCTCCTGCACTAACAGCTCTGTGGTCTTGGGTAAAACCCTTCACCCAGGAAGGACCTTAGTCTCCTCCACAGCAAAGTAGGCCTAATGCTGCCCCACGATGCATGCGGAGTGCCTGGTAGGTGGGGGAGCTTACTAAGCGGTTATTTTTATTTTTGTTATTGGTGGTGTTAATATTACATCCTTCTGAGAGAGAGAAAAAAAGCACCTTGAGGAATGTTAACCTCTGAAATAACAAACAGATCTCAGGCCCTCTCGGAGCTTCAGCAAAGAACACAACACATTCCAGGCGGCCTTCGCTTCAGCTAAATTTTATTGGCTGGATTTCTGACGGACATCTAAATTATACAGTGAATTTTCCACATGACCAAATACCGCGTCCACGTCTTTATCATTTTCAAAGGGGACTATATAAAAAGAAACTTTCGATGGATCAGACTGAACCCTGAAACCACATGGAGTGCAGAGCTAAAAATAAAAGGGAGTAAGAACTTGCCCCTGAGAAGGAAAGAGAAATCAAAGGGACGAGTCCTGGAGGGGGTGACATGGTGTCAGCCTCCGGGGCAGGTCCGGATAAGGAGTGGCCACAGTGAGGGTGAGGCACAGAGGGACACAAAAATAGCCACCGATCAAGCCCAGAGGGGAATAAAGAAATTTGTCCAAAGCCAGGATGGAGGAGCGGAGGGAGGGAGGGAGGGAGGGAGGGGGCGGGACGGGGGCCTTCAGCAGTATCGGGACCCGTGGACTTCTCTCCCGGCACATTTGTACCCACCGGCATACGCGCTGACTTTCAGCTTCGCGCCTGCCATGTTCCCCCGGCTCAGCCCACATCAATGACACCCTTGTTTCCATAGTAACCAGGGGAGAGTGAAGGGGAAAGGGTGTGCTGCACTGGGCCTGGGGATCCAGCCAGGAGGAGCTGTGCTGGGAAGGTCAGTGGGAGGGGAAGGGCGTGTTTCTCACAACTGGTCTGAGCACACATCCTGGGGCCCCCGCCCGACCCGGGCCTTGCTGCCCCCCCCCCCCCCCCATTCAGATGCAGAGGAGCACGGAGGGAGGAGGATGGGAGACCCACCGGGCATCCTCTTTCTAGCTTCACATTCTATCTTCTGGTCACGGCCCCAGGGGGTGGGAGCGGGGCCCGGGGAGAGGAGAGGGGACTTTAGAAGTATTTTGTTTTTACAAATGGGAGCTCTTAAAAGTCTGCCTTTTTCAGGCATCTCTCATCTGCCCCGTGAGCCCCCAGGGCGGGTCCAGCAGGGTTCAAAGGGAAGATGAAAGCTTGTGACTTCTACCATGCCACTCTGTCTTTAGCTGCAAAGCAAATGTGCACGTTCACAGCGGCTGTTATCAGAGGAGGGGAGTGGCTTCTGCCTGTTGGCCCGGCCTGGGAGGACTCTTGCAAAGAGTCCCCTAAGTTGGTGGCAAAAGAACAAAAGCGCTTTGCAGACTATCCAGTGCCAAAGCTCCGATCACATCCTTCCAAAGCCACAGCCCTCACAGCGGGCTGCTGCCCCTCAGCTCGCATCCCTGGTGCACTGTCTGGAGGGAAAACCCATTTTTAAGCCCTGGAGCCACGTTTCCAGCTGAATGGCAGGGGGTGTTGGTTTCTTGTGATTCTGTTTTCCTTGTTCAAAGTGGGAGAGGCCCTTGGGTGAGACAAGGAAGCCAGAGGAGGCGGCAGCAGGAAGCAGGCATCTCGGTGGTTTGGAAAAAACCTCACCTCCTTTTGTTTTACAAGCCCTCACAGGCCTGTCCCCGGGGTGCACCCCCAGCCCAGCCTTCGGTGCGCCTGCAGGAGTGACTCCCAGCCCAGGAGGCCTCTGAGGCTGGACACGCTTCAGCCTCACCTGCACAGCTTCGTCCAGAAAAGCTGGGCGCGGAGGGCTGGGCTGGAGCGGCCCCTCTTCCGCTCACGGGCCTCAGTGGGCTTGGGAAGGGCCACCTCCTGAGAAGGCAGCTGGCCCCCTGAGGCCCACCAGCCAAGCCACCGGACAGTCCCTTATTCATTCTCGGAAAACCCCTCGGCTCAGGCACCAGAACAGTGTTCAATTCAGGAGCTGGGTGATGCTCTGGCCAGCTTTCATGCTTGAAGCGAGGGATTTCTTAAGACTCAGGAAAACAAGCTCTTTTTGCAACCCGGGGCGGGAGCAGCCTCCTTCCAACCCATCAACAGAGGACACATTTTGCTGGAGAGGCAGGGGAGATGGGCAGCTGGGGTGACTCGGGCCTCCCTGGGAGTGGCCCCTGCAATCACACCCCTTCTTCCCAGCAGCAAGCCCTCTCCGCCTGTGAGCTCCGCACACCCCCACGTTGCCAGCTCTGTAAAAATTGATCTTGAAAAAAATCGATCTGCCTGCCTTTCCTCAGTGGAGCAGGTTCATGGTAAAGCTGCATTTATTTAAAAAATCTGATAGCGACGGCCTATTGTGATCATTTAGACACAGAATTCTTTGAGCTTTAGAAATCCCCTCTATAGGACTGCTGCGCCGAAGCCAGCTAATCTCGGAGTCGCTGCTCCCTGCTCCACTGAGCCGGAGAAAGCCTGTTTGCGCTAGCCCGAGCCCTCCGTGTGCGGGCCTTCTAAGGACCTTGTAATTTTTCTGGAATTAAACCTCCCACCTCTTCTCACATTCCAGATGTCATTATAGTCAAAAGTCATAAGAATTTGCTTCCCTGTATAGCTGGCCGGGGGGTTGGGGATGGGCTGTGTTTATGTGGTGACTTGTTTGCAAGAAAGGATTTTTTTTTTTCCCCCCTCTCCAAAGGGTGAGGATTACACACACAGCCTCCTACCTGCATGACAAGATGGTTTAATCATCTGCTCTTCCTCCCCTTCCCCCCAGCGGCCTCCCTCGGGACGGAATGCAGCCCTGGCCCTGTTGGTGATGGTAAAAGTCACTGCCCAGCAGCAGCAAACACTGTCCGAGCTTCCAAAACCACGGGGAGAGCAAGGGACAGGTCAGTAAATAAATGAACACAGCATAAGCTGCTTCTTTCTCTTTTACTTTTTTTTTTTTTTAAAGGAAAAAAAAAAAAGAAAAAGCCCACTGGAATTGTCTGAACTGCAATGCAATCTCTTGCTCATTTAAAAGATCTCATTTTCTAATCATGCGCTTTGAGACATTTAATACTATTTCAATTATGCAGAGGAAATAATATAATTCCTTTATTTGAAAAATGATACCGAACCTCAGAGATCAGTTAAATCTACTGCTGGAATAGGGGTTCCTTTTAAACTGTGTTGTGCCCTCTCTTCAAACAGCTGTAGCTGTACACAGATGGAAAAACATTTGGTCAGAAAGCAGCAAATTAGTGTTTTTTCAGGACAGAACTCAGCTCCTGAAGCTCCCGGGTCTCCATTCGTCTAGGTTTTATTTCTTCTTTGCGATGACATTTTTGCAGACCCAGTTCATGCCGTCCTTTGAGGGAAACGGGCAGAGAAAGGCAGCGTTAGTTATAAGAAAGACACCACACAGGCAAGCCCGGGGGCGGGAGTGGGCCTCCCCTCCCCTCCCACTCGCTCCAGGGAGCCTCTGCCCCAGGGGCCCACCTGGTGACCAGGCACAGTGACCTCTTGGGGAGGCCCTGAGAGCACAGGAGGGAGATGGGAGCGGGAGTGCCCAGTGTCTGAACTTGAGATGGATTCTCAGGAACTCCCTCTGAAAAAATAAACACATCTGCTTGGCTCCAAGGCCTGATTGAGGCGCTATCAGGAGTGAGTCCAGCCCTTTTTGGCTTTTTCTAAAAGCTGACCTTTGCGAGGGCACTCCGTTCAATAAGCCACTCTTCTGGTGCCCGGTGTGTTTACACATGGCCGTGAACACGGGTTAAATTAAATTTCTTTTTGGAAAAACAAACCAGCTGCAGTGTGCGTTACTAGACACACACTAGGGCAATGTGCATTTATGTCTCTCCGTGCAGTGCCCCAGATAGGCTTAGAAGGTCCGGGCTGGTTCTTGTAGCTTTAAGCGTTACCCAGCGGAGGGCCTGGGGAGACGGTTCCCTTAAAGGCACAGTGACCTTGAACGCGTCCTCTCTTAGAAGGCTGGAGAGGGACAGAGGTCAAAACCACACAGTGCCTACAGCCACCTGGCAGGTGGCAGGATTTCTCCTGGATGCCTGGCCTGCCAGAGATGACCTCCTTTTCAACCCACTTTGGAGACACCCCTGAATACTCTCCTTTCCCCCAGAGTCTCTCCGACCTTCAGGGGTGTGCAGAGTTCCCTTGGAAGCTCACAACAAAATCAAAGCAGGATCCTGCCTCCCCCCTCTCACCCCCCCACCATATCCCCGGCGCGTCTGCAATACAAGCTAGCTGAGGGCCCAGTCACATTTGCACATCTCCGGGCACACAGGGCACGAAGAGCCCTGCACTTCCTGTGCCCACGAGCTGGTCGTTGAACCTGAACAGCTGAGCCAGCTTAAAGCAATAAATATCCGCTGACACCTCTGGGCTTTCGGAGCATTAATCCCATAAACAATACATCACTGCAAAACCACCAGCAGGCACCCTATCTCCCGGCTAATCTGACCATAACCTGAATCTACAGTGATTAAAACTCTGCCAGTTGCCATCAGAAGGCCTGGACGGGAGAACCAGATACTCTGGTGGCTGCTCCAGAGCAGACCTCGGCGCCTCTGCCAAGACGGGGCTGGCCACGGCCGGAAGGCGGGCAGCACCCGGCAGCGGACGGGGCCAAAAGGGGGTAGAACGCCGAGGTGGGAGAAAGGTGGCCTCCACACACGTCTCCACTCACAACTGGGTCAGCTACCGGCTTCCAAAGCTGAGGCCAGTTTCAAGACCATCTTTTGAAAAGGATTAATTTAAAGAGAAGCATGTTTAATTTTAGTAGCTAATTGGTTTCCAGGAAAAAAAAAATGATCACCTGCCAGGAGACAGAAAAGATTTTACAAACACAAGAGGGATGAATAAGATAACCATCTTCTCTCTGCTTTCCAAGCTGAATAGCTCAGCACTTAGGTAGCACTCTCCATCTTCAGAACCCCGCACAAACACTATCAAAGGCATGCACCTCCATATTCTCTCCTCTGCGGAGACCTGCAGTATTTTATCACATCATCTCAGAGAAATCAAGTGCTCCCACACTCTACGAATGCCAGTTTCCCCCCTGGTTTTACGGCTGATTACAGGGGGGTAGTTCTTTTTATTAACTAAACACGAATACAGTCAGAGAGATAGGAACAATATTTACTCAGCTGCAGGAACTGAAGCAGAATGTGGGGGTGAGGGGCAGCCTTCTTTTCGGTATCTGTGATGGAGGCGGAGGGCGGGGATTTAAATGCGGGAGCCCCGCTGGGGAGCCATGTGCTCCAGATGTCTGAGGCCAGCAGGGGCAAAGCCCTTTCAGCCACAGTCCTGCCAACAGAGGGCGCTCAGAGGCCAGTGCTCACCAGCTCTCCTGCTGGTCCCTGAGCCTCGGCAGCTGCCCCGGCAGTCTGGAGTTTGGGAGGCACAGGGAGACTTAAAAGGGGCCCAAGCCTCAGCTGACTTGGCTCAATGAGTAGAGAGCGTCAGCCTGGGGACTGGAGTCCCAGGTTCAATTCCGGTCAAGGGCACATGCCTAGGTTGTGGACTTAATCTCCAGTGTGTGTGTGTGTGAGTGTGTGTGTGTGTGAGTGTGTGAGGCAGCCAATCGGTGATTCTCATCATTGATATCTCTCTCTCTCTCTTTCTCTCTCTCTCTCTCTCTCTCTCTCTCTCTCTCTCTCTCTCTCTCTCTCTCTCTCTCTCTCTCGTGTTTGAGGAGTTGTACCTTTCCTGTTATTACTTGAGGGGTGAGGGGCAGTTGGGGAGGCAGCAGCCAATGGGGCTAATACCTCTCCAATCATTTCAGGACAAGCTGTGCCAAACTGGCCACAGAAAAGGAAAGAGAATATGTTGTCCAAGCTCCTTGAGGGGAGGGTCCATATCAGACTGGCTTGAGGTTGTGTTTACAGAACCTAGCATGGTGTCTGGTCTATAGTACTTAATTTACACCTTTAAAAATTTTTTTTAAAAGTATTTTTTAATGATTTTTTACAGAGAGGAAGAGAGAGGGATAGAGAGTTAGAAATATTGATGAGAGAGAATCATCGATCAGCTGCCTCTTGCACACCCCCTACTGGGAATGTGCCAGCAACCAAGATACATGCCCTTGACTGGAATCAAACCTGGGACCTTTCAGTACGAAGGCTGACACTCTATCCACTGAGCTAAACCGGTTTCAGCAATTTATACCTTTTTAATGAACCCTTTGAACGCCCTGTGAAGGAGGGACTATAATGTCCACATTACAAAGGAAGAAATGGGACCCAGCTCAGTGTGTGGCAGAGGCGGGCTGGGAACCAGGCTATCTGGCTCCAGCACCCAAACTCTAACCACTGACCATTTCTCAACGAGTGCGGGCAAGTGGTGGCGGGAGGAGCTCTGCCTGGAGCATACGGAGAAGCGGGGAATCACCCTAAAGTTGGGAAATAGCAATTCTAGTTATTTCTTCCTTAGGGCTTCCGACTATAGGGGCCTGAGACTGGGGCAGCCCCAGGCTAAGCGCCAGGGGCTGGTTTTGGCCACTCAGTGCTCAGGATTCCTGCCAGGTATGCTACCTGCGGGAGCTGCATGTTTACCTGTTGCCCCGCCCAGCAGTCACTCCCCGCCTTCATGGAAACGTTACATTTAGAGACAACATCACAGCAAGCAGCAGAACCTTCTGCTCCTCAGGTTTAAATTAGTGCTCTACATCACTCTTGCCTTAATTTGGCAAGGCTTTGTTGTTTTTTTTCCAAAACAGACTGAGAAAAAGTGATCAGTGACTTGAAGTAGGTTACTGCTCGGCTTCCAAAGAAGGAAATGAACTCATAAGTTTGTTTAACGGTGGAACCTTTATTGTTAAAAATTGGTTTGACCAAATTTCTGTACATTTGATCTTCGTCATGGGGGTGACAATATTGCGGCCTGAGCAGTCCTCCCCTTCCTTCCTCCCCCACAGCTCCTTGCTGAAACTGAATTTAAACTGATTAGCTTTAATTCAATAATAGAGACTAAAGTGAGACATTGAACCTCAAGTACTGAGCTTTGTTTGGCCTCGTGGAGAGGAAATAAATTTTGCTGTGTCATGAGATTATCCCCTAATATGGCCACTGGGAAAAATATAAGGCTGCCCCTAACCATAGGGGTGGAATACTCATTACGGATCTCAGAGGCCCAGGAAGGGTGGACCAGGGCTGCACTGCTCCCGTTAATTTGATCACCCTACGATGCATCCATCACTGCTCAGTGGTTGGAAGGAAGCAGCGGCAGCCATGGTTGGGTGGGCCTGGCTTTTTATGCCATGAGGACTACATACCACATCAGTAATTGCTTTAGGAGGAGGCGGAGCTCAGGCCCTTGCTGAGCAATGCAGCCTATCCCATTGTGTCACCAGGCCCCCAGGGTCAAGGAGCAGCTGGATGCTGCATACATAAAATATTGCTTGCTATTAATATTTTTTTTCTGGTGACAAAGGGCACTGCACCAGAGAGGTAGCAAAATTGCCTGTCCTGAGCTTGCTTTCTCAGTCTAGAGAGAGGTTTGAAATTTTAAAAATAAACCTGAGGTCTGACTTGCAGATAATGAACACTTGGAGTAAAAAATAACTGATGCCAGGCCTTGAAAGCAGTGGTAAATGTCATATTTAAAAATACCAAATCCTATTGGTATAATATTAAGAGAAAAGGCCCCTAGGCCAAGGAAAAAGGAAAAGAAACAAGGAGCTGGGCTAGGAAATGTGTAACGTTCCCCGGGAGGTGCAGCTGGTGTACAGCTCACACACCAGGCTCCAGCTACTACAGACCTTCCTAGCGGGAGACCACAAGCCGGACCACTGCTCCTGTTTAGAGGAGGAAGGAAGAGGGAGTGTGGGAGAGATGTGAAAAGAAAGTGTGAGCATGAGGTGGGGGCACGGAGAGGAATACCTGAGAGCTTTCTGCTAGATCAAAGCTACTGGTGGAGGCAGGTCTCTGTTATGATGAAGGCTAGAGACCAGGCTGAAACTGCTGATCTCTGCACCAAAAGGAAATTCTCTTCCAGTACAATTTCTCTCTCTCTCACACACACACACACACACACACACACACACACACACACACACACACACGATATTTTATAGAGAAAAAGTCTTCAAACACCTGACACTGCAACAGTCAAGGACAGCGCTGTGGTCTGGGTTCAGATTCAGATGTGCAGGTGGAAGAGGTTGATTTCGCTCCACCTTTCTCTGGCTCTAAGCCAAGCCCTTTGTTCGCTGCTGGTAGAAGAGTCCCAGGGCTCGCTGTCATACCCCAGGAGAGGCCCTAGCAACACGGCCTAGCCCTCGGGCGCAGAGAAAGCGGCCTCCATGTCCGGGAGGCAGTCTGGCTCAGGGGCTGCAGGGTTTCCCTCCCAGGCGTTGTTCAGTTTCTCCCCTTTCTGCCTTCCTCTACGTGACACAACTGGTCTCTTCTGATCGCTCCTCTGGACTCTGGGCCTCCAGCAGGCAGGGCTTCCAAGATGGATGTTCTCCTTCAGCTTCTACAGCCCTTTGCCTATGCCCTCCTCTGGACAGTTTCTCATGGAACCCCGCTTTAATTACACAAGGGGCTGGCCTCCTGGTCACCATTCATCAGGCAAAAGAAAGGCCTTTTCTGAACTCCCTGGAAGCTCTCAAAAGTCAGTCTCCACACCCACAACAGGGGCGGCTGAACAACATAGGGGATTGCCTGTCCTGGTCAAGACTGCACGTATTTGTCATCAGAACATTAGATAGAACAAGAATCTGAAATCCATCCCAGGAATCACTAACTTCCATAACCTTAAGTCATGTGTTCAGGCCGCTCGGCTAAGAAGTGATACACCTGCCCCCTGAGTCCAGAGGCGTAGCTCACCACCTAGTGGATCTGTGGCTGCTCCCTAGGCTCACTCACTTGAGGGTGTTATTTATGAGTAGAAGACGGGTCTCTCAAACATTCTGATTAAACACACACACACACACACACACACACACACACACACGCACAATAAAAATAGACCCCATGTCTCTAAACACTTGAAACTGCAGCAGAAAATCCAGAAGTTTTTTTGTTTGGTTTTTTAACCTTTGTACATTTTTCCTTTTAGGGTCATTAAAGCCACGGTGCCAGATGTTGTTTGAGTGATCATTTTAGTAGCTCTGCCCATACTGACTGGCTCTCCTGGGGCAGCAGGAGGAGAGGAGGGAGGGAAGATGAAACAGGAATTTAGGGAATTTTGGTAATGACTACGCAGTATCCATGTCTGAAAGTGATCTTATGGACATTTTTCTAGTGAGGTCTTTCATTTTTAGGAATCCTTGAAACCTTAGAAAATAAGAATAATTTAAGGCCTGCACTTGAATTAGGCAATGCAGGAAAACAATTCCTCCTAAGTGACTCTTTTTAAAGTAAAAACCATGACACTGGCTGAGTGGACGAGAGCCTAGGTCACAGGCGTTACCTGGGGGAGGGACATGGCCAGTGGGTGCCTCACAATGAAATGCTTCCACAGAAAACTCCACGACCTTTCTGCAGTCCCCAAAGGTTACCATTAAAGGACAATAGAGAGCAGATTCCCTTCTTAATTAACATTTTTATTAAATAACTCATTTCAAATAATGGTTAAATTCTCTAAATTTATATCATTCTATTAACCATAATCTAATCTCATTAACCTTGAAATCCCAGTCTTAACTACCCAATTCTATACACCATGGTACTATCTACTAAACTAATTAAGTGACCTTCAAACTATTTCTCCTCCATATAAAATCATTATATATATATATATATATATTTTTTTTTTTCTTTTTTCTCGTAGTTCTTTGTTAGATTTTTCTTGACATAATTTCCTGTGAATCTGGTTGCTGAAGGTCTTTGATCTAAGAAGAACTTGAACAAAAATAAACCATACATGGTTGTCTCACTTGATTTAAACTGACTGATTTTAAAGCCTTCCCTGGCTCTGCCTGATAGCTCACTGCTGCTTTTTTGGTCTAAAGATCCTGTGACTGAAGGGAATGCCATTTCTGTGGTGGTTACACAGCCGAGAAGAGAGCTCTATCCCTGTAACCTCCCCACACAGGTTGGGGTGTGGTGGGTGGGGGCTGGGAGGACAATGACAGAGCTCCCTCCGGGTCTCCAGGCTCTGCGGAAGTACCCCTGACATGAATGCCACTACCCAAAATGCTGATTTTAGATAACTCTAGTCCCTGCTTCAGGCTGGCTCAAGAAACAAGGACCTTTACTGTTAATCTGCTTTTTTTTTTTCTACACTCTGACCAAGTGAAAAAAGGTTACGGGCTGCCACTCTCTAAGCAGCAGGCACACAGAATGTGTTTATTTTCTTTAGTGCCACCTTTAGAGCCCCCGACCTTGAGATGTTCTCTCTCTATTTGTGTTTGAGGCCACTTAGACAGGCAGAGTTCTCTTGCTGGAGTGGTTTGTATAAACATAAGAAAGCTTCATCCAAACCCAAATCATTTTAGGCCTCATGAAGGCCATCTTATCCACGATTGAGGGAAATACCTTAGGCTAAACTTGATTTTTTTTTTTTTTAAGTGAGAAGCTAAAATGATTTGAGTTTACTTATTAAAAAACATTCTGGGGGCCTAGCCAGTTTGGCTTAGTGGATAGAGCGTTGGCCTGCAGACTGAAGGGACCTGGGTTCAATTCAGGTCAAGGGCACATGCCTCGGTTGCAGATTCAATCCCCAGTAGGGGGCGTGCAGGAGGCAGCCAATCAATGATTCTCTCTCATCATTGATATTTCTCTCTCTCCCCCTCTCCTTTCTTCTCTCAAATAAAAATAAAATAAAAAAATAGAAACATCCTGGGTTGTAGTATAGTTGTTGAATCAGCCTAAATTAAGCTGAAAAAAAAAATGCAGTTAATTTGAAACTAAATAGATCTATAATCACATATGTGATTATAATTTTAAAGAGGAGACTTAAGAAGAATAAAACTATTAATGACAGTTCCTTTGTGGGATTAGGGGAGAGGAAAAAACTTTACAGTTTTAAATTTTATATGTTTTTATATGGTTAATAATGAGAATATATACTTTTATAACCAGAGTCTAGGAAGGAAGGAAATAAGACTTAACATCTCCCCTCCCTAAACAAAAACCTCCCAGAGACCCACAGAGCTCCAGCACCCATTTTGGGGAGGTAGCTGAGCTCATCTCTGGCTATTTTAGAACTCCCCCCCGCACCCCCGACACACACACACAGGGGGTGTAGGTATTGAGGGCCGTAGAAGAGAGGGTGCTGGTCTTGTGCTGACCGGTCTGCTCTCAGATCTAAAGGCCGAGCACAGAAACAGGCCCTGGTTGTTTGTGTAACAAAAAGAGAAAAACCAAGCAGCAAGCAGATGGAACAAGTGAGATAATGCTAGGACGTGACTATTTTCTTGAAATAAAAGCAGTCAGGCGGTTTTAAGACAAATCAATGTCACATGTCCTCAGAGAGAGGGAAGGAGAGTATTAGAAAAGAGATGGTTAGAGGCTGCAGGATGCCTGAGAAATTGCAGGCTCGTACCCCAACACACCAAGTTCAGAGAAAAGCAAACTGGTCATGCCATTAGATACACACGCCATATGGCAATGAGGGAAGACACCACTGTGTTAGATGTTGATCCCCACAGCGTCCCAGAGCAGTACTGTCCGGTTCTCACCTCGCGGTGTCACTTCCCGGCAGGTCCGCCGATGTTTAAAGGGAGGCGGTGGGCCTGCCGGGCCTTGGGATGAAGAAGTTCTAGAGCGCTGACTCCAAGAGTCACTGTTTGCGTCTGCTTGGTGGGACGCATCAGAGCTGAACCTGCTCACCATTCTTTGAGGATAGACTAGGAGCCTCTCAGTTACTATCAAATGAGGGGAGCCGGATCCTCTGGTATGTAGTCCTCACTATCAAACACGAGCCCTCTGTGAGCAGAAGCCCACCAGTGGGAAACCAAACTGAAGTAGCAGGAAGCAGACACCAACTCTGAAGGCAGTGAAGACAGCCAACAGAAACAGAACACTCTGACAGGGTAACTAGTGTACATCATTGTTGATGGCTCCGTTACCTTGGCCACAATATGAGACACAACACAAAAACCCCGACCAAATCATCAAAGAGTCTTAGAGTTAGAAAGCATCCTCTAAGTCAGAGGTCGCCAACCTTTCGGACCTCACTGACCACCAGCTGGTGACCGCTGCTCTAAGTCTTCTGTTCTGACCTCTTACCTCGTGAGGTAGTTTGCTGCCTGGGTGGGGTGGGCTTGCCTTTCCTAGCACAGTTAATGAGGTCACGTTGGCTGCTACGTAGAGAAAAACTAAACTCTTCATGCCCTTCACATCCTGGATTGTTCATCTGCCAATCAAAGGCTATTTGTTTCGTATCTTTCCTGTCTAGATCAGCCCAGCCAAGGAGACAGACTACTTTGGTTGGCTGTCACGTTGCCAGGTGACCAAGCCTCCAGGTAATCTCACCTGAACGCCCTCTCCTGTGAGAGCTGAGCAGGACTGGATCTGCCAGACTCGGTCCCGGATGGTGTGCAGGTTCAGTCCTTCTGCAATTTCAGAGGCAGGGGCTGCCGTGAGCAAATCCTGCTTATTAGCAAAGATGAGCACTGGAACACAACTTAGCTTTTCTTCCTCCAGTAATTCAGCTAGCTCCTGGATCATTTTGAGAATGGATGGGGAGGGAAGGATGAAAGCTATGATATTTAACCATTAACTTCTAGCTAGAAAAATAATAGAACAGTTAAGCTGATCAACCAGCAACTTTCAAGGGCAGTGGTTCTCAAACGAGCCTGTGAAAGAATCCCCTGGCAGACTGCTGGGCCTACCCCAGAGATGCTGACTTTAAAAAGTCTGAGCGAGCGGAAACTGGTTTGGCTCAGTGGATAGAGCGTCGGTCTGCGGACTGAAAGGTCCCGGGTTCAATTCTGGTCAAGGACATGTACCTTGGTAGCAGGCACATCCCCAGTATGGTTGTGCAGGAGGCAGCTGGTCGATGTTTTTCTCTCATCAATGTTTCTAGCTCTCAACCCCTCTTCCTTCCTCTCTGTAAAAAAAATAAATAAATAAAAAATAAAATAAAATTATAATAATAAAAAAGTCTGAGTGAGGGCCCAGAAATCTACCTTTTATCTTATTTATTTACTTATTTAGGAATCTGCATTTTAACTAGCTCCCCTGTAGTAGTTCTTCTATAGGGATTCATAGATCATACTTTGAGAACACAGTTCAAGGGAGAACACAAGTTGTGACAAAAATTTAAAATTTAGCCAAAGTTGTTATCTGCAAATAACTTTCAAGGTGTGTGTGTGTGTGTGTGTGTGTGATTTATTTAAATACTAAAGGCCCAGTGCACAAAATTTGTACACGGGTAGGGTCCCTAGGCCAGGCTGGCAATTAGGGCCGATTGGGCCCTTCTAGCTGTCAGCCAGGGCTTTCCTTTGTTCTGTGCTACCCCCTGGTGGTCAGCACATGTCATAGTGAGCAGTTAAACTCACAAGGGGACAATTTGCATATTAGCATTTTATTCTATAGGATAAATTGAAAATGACAATTGCTTTAAATGCTATAATTCTGTTTTATCAATCTTTTTTTTTTTTTAATATATATTTTATTGATTTTTTACAGAGAGGAAGGGAGAGAGATAGAGAGCTAGAAACGTCGATGAGAGAGAAACATCAACCAGCTGCCTCTTGCACACCCCCTACCGGGGATGTGCCCGCAACCAACGTACATGCCCTTGACCGGAATCGAACCTGGGACCTTTCAGTCCGCAGACCGACGCTCTACCGCTGAGCCAAACCGGTTTCGGCTGTTTTATCAATCTTTACCTCCAAAGCATGTCCATGCATTACGCTTCATCAAACCCACATCCTAAAATAACTGTATTAGTCCACCTGGCAAGGTCTCTGAGTTTTAGGCTATCGGTTGGGGTCTACCCTGTTGTTTTTGTCTGCAATAAGTATAGGAGAGGGTGTGTACTTACCTAAATATGAGGACCACCTCTCCCATTAAATCCACATTTTAACCCTACTTAAGACACTTGTGTTGTCAAAGAGAACTGGAGGGTTCAAGAGGCAGATAGTTATATGACACCCTTCACCTTCAAGCTCACATGAAGTGATGAACCAGAAGTCATCAATGTATAGGAGGGTTATCTCCAAGAGTCTGGAGAGTTCTCAAACTAATTTCCAGGAAAAAGGAAGAGAAACATGGAGACGGCTACCTTTGGAAGGCCACCGGTGGTAGTTTAGGACATAAGCCAAGAACTCTGCAATAAAATGCTTCTCCAAAGAGGTCCACTCTACCCCTTGCTTCTTATCAGTGTACTCAGTAGAATGGTCTGTGCCCACCGCGTCTCTGTTTAAACCATGTATACAAATTGCACTGTGTAATCATGTTGACATGTAGTCTGCCTTTGAAGCCATTTTTTGGGTTCAAGGATACCTATCTTTTGGCTTGAAAACAAGAGCAGGTTAGTCTTGGCTTACACATTTCTTCCATCCCTTTGAATTTGTTAGTTGCCCTTGGGTCAATCAAGTTGGTATTGAAAAATGTACATAGAAATAATAAGTGAATTGTTCTTCTGGGTTCATTTCTATGTGGAATGAAAAGAAACTGAAGAGCTTTTGGGCATGGTGGTAAATTCCATTTTCTTATAACTTGTTTATTCAATTTGATTTAAACTAAAAGGCTTTAATACAAAAAAATTGTTTAAAGGATTCTGAACTAATTTTTTTTTTTGACAACTGATATTTTTGCCTACTTGCCAGAGTAACTGCCTTATTTAAATTGCAAAGGTTAAACAAAAAAAAATCTTTCTCACTGTCATACATTTACAAGGCAGATTAATGAATACCCAGTTATTTGGGAAATAAGTCAACAGAAGAATTATTTACCTGGCCCGTCTCTTCAAATCTTTTTCTGTCTGCGCTGTCAATCACATATATCTGTAAAGTAAAAAAAAAAAAAAAAAAAAAAAAAAAGTTATCTCAATAGCAGATATGTAAAAGAGAGTGCACCTTTATGGAAAGACAGATGATCCTATCAGCCAATTTTACATTAGCATAGCATATAGAAATTGAGCTGGTAATTATTACCTCACATATGGATGCAAAACAAACAAATTAACTAACTAATTAAATGGATGGTGCCCCCAAAATATCTCCAGCAAAGCTCCAAAGTAAAAAGTAGAGCTATGCAGGATGAAAATAGCTACACTTACTGTGCATTCACTAAGCATTCTTGCAAGATTTCTCATATTAATCCTTGTTACAACTCTATGAGATAGACTGCACTACTTTCTCATTTTATACATAAACTAGAGGCCCTCAGCCCGGTCTGCACCCTCTCACAGTCTGGGACTCCTTGGGGGATGTCCACCTGCCTGTTCGGTTTAGGCCCAGTCTCCGGGGATTGGACCTAAGCCGGCAGTTGGACATCCCTCTCATTATCTGGGATGCCTTGCTCCTTACCGCCTGCCTGCTCGTTCCTTACTGCTTGGCTTGCTGCTTCTTAGCGCTGCTGTGGAGGTGGGAGAGGCTCCTGCCACCACCGCTGCACTCACTAGCTGTGAGCCCGGCTTCTGGCTGAGCAGTGCTCCCTCTGTGGGAGCGCACTGACCACCAGAGGCAGCTCCTACGTTCAGCGTCTGCCTCCCGGTGGTCAGTGTGCATCATAGTGACCGGTCATTCTAGTCGTTCCGCCGCAATGGTCATTTAGGCTTTTGTTATATAGATAAACGTAAGCCCAAAGAAGTTAAGTAACTTGCTCAAGTTACATCAAGTACTTGACAAAATTGGGATTCCAACTCAAACATACCTTAAGCACTCTACTAATACTGCATCTCAAGTTGTCTGGGAGGGATGGTGTTTTGAGACATCTACAAACCGTAGTCTTCGAACATCATCACGCTGAAAGTATCATTTGCAGTGTTAACTGTACACTGACTTCATGTACTGAGGCAGGAGACCCAGTGATCTCCACCCCTCCCTACCTTGCTTATAGCCTCCAAGGCTGCTAGGAGCTATAAGCAAATAGCAAGGGCATAGCCTTTTCCAGAGTAAGAGAAGTCTTGAGATTCACCATAAGTTAAAAATCCCAAGCTTTCTCTCCCATCACTGAATTTTATTTATTGCATAAATAACACCTTATAACAATAAAGAAAATAAGGGAACACCAAAATAAAGAAAATTGTTTATAGTTACAGAACCCAAATATATTATTTTAATTTCTTATGAATGTTCTCTTAATTCTTCTTCTTAATGAAAATTTAAAAAGAAAATTAGATATAATGTTATAGTCCTTTAAAACAATTGAATGATATGTTCAATATTTTCCCAGTTTCTAATCTTTTTTTTTTTAATGGGTCCAGTTTATTTTATTTTTAAAAATATATGTGTTTTTTTTTACAGAGAGGAAGGGAGAGGAATAGAGAGTCAGAAACATCGATGAGGGAGAAATATCTATCAGCCGCCTCCTGCACACCCCTACTGGGTATGAGCCCGCAAACAAGGTATATACCCTTGACCGGAATCGAACTTGGGACCCTTGAGGCTGATGCTCTATCCACTGAGCCAAATCGGTTAGGGACCAGTTGCTAATCTTAAAAATTATCAGATTTTCTAACTTGTAAAAGATAATTTAGAACTGTTATTAAACTAATGGTACAATGAAAACAGCATTTTAAAAGAGCATACAGTAAATCCTCAACGTCATCAATACGTTTTGCAACTTTAAGCGAAAAGATATATAACGAAACCAACTTTACCACAGGCTAATTGACATAAACAAGAATTAAGTTCCTACAGCTTCTCACCCATGTTATAATGAAACAATGTTGAACAAAGTGACATTATTTGAGGGCCTGCTGTATTCATTTAGAAACAACAACACAAACAACTCTCACCTTTACATGCCTTAAATTACATAAACTAATATACTACAATATACATAGGCATTTCTGTATGTAGGTTAAATTCTGTGCTACTTGAAAATTTGCTCTCTTTTGGAAAAAAAAAATTACAATTCCTTGGCTTAATACACTCTCATTTAGAATCACTTAGTGCAAAATATGCAGGAACAAAGTTTAGGCTTTCCTCTGAGAATACCCTATGTTTCTACCTGTGTTTCTTTCATGAGGAATCGTAAAAAGAGGAAGGATGTTGTCTCAGTATTTTTTTTTCCAGCCTTATTATTATTGTTGTAGTTAATATTACTCTTGACTCAGTGTCAATAGGTTCTGCACACCACAGACACCCAGAATTCCATACTGTTTTCCACCAGTGAGGCTCTCATTATCAGGTAGCAGATATAGTATAAATGTAGATGTAGAACGAAGAAATGTAATGGGAGGGTGAACCTCAACATAAAAGACCTAATTAGGATTATTTGGGAGTCTACAGTGGATTAGGATTATCTTCACCCAGGAAATAGTTCAAGATGTGAGGGAGGGGAGAGGGCCAAGTGAGCACAGGGAGCGTGTTTGGGGTTCAGAGGGCTTTCTGAAGGCTGTGTGCAGGTCACTGGGCAAGAAGGGGATTTCAAAGTAAGAAAAAGTGGGTCTGGGAGCAAAGGTGTGAGTAACAAGGGAAGAAAAGAGGAGGTTGAACCAAAGTGGAAAACACAAACATAAAGTTAGGAAATGGATGCTTGATATTATGAAAAACAGTCGGGAGAGGATAAGAAGGAATGGGAAGAGATTTAAAGACAAGAGAGATGATATCAGAGAATACAGAGGCTGAAGATCAATGAGAAGAAAGTTTTAACTATTACTTATAATTACTTGCTATTTATTGCCTCCATTAAAAGATTCAGTATAATCAAAGGAGGGTTTTCCTCAACTATACATTTAGCCTAATTCTCTCTATCATTTTGCATAATTTTAATAAAATTTGACAGCTACTTCACAATAATTCCAGGAAGAAGTCTAATTTGGTGATACACCAATTTGTGTTTCTGCAGTGGTATATGCTTCTCTTGGTTGCTTGCCAACCCAGTGCTGCCCAGTATCTGTTTTCTTCTGGTCAATAAATAAAGGTAAGGAGAGCGCCGAAACTGGTTTGGCTCAGTGGTAGAGCGTCAGTCTGTGGACTGAAAGGTCCCAGGTTCGATTCCGGTCAAGGGCATGTACGTTGGTTGGGGCACATCCCTGGTAGGGGGTGTGCAAGAGGCATCTGGTCGATGTTTCTCTCATCGACATTTCTAGCTCTCTATCTCTCTCCCTTCCTCCTCTCTGTAAAATATCAATAAAATATATTAAAAAAAAAAAAAAAAAAAAGGTAAGGAGAGCATCTTGCCTTAAGGGGGAAAAATAATATATAGTTTTTTATTATATAATATATATATTAGTGTGTGTATATATATTAGTATGTGTGTGTGTGTGTATATATATATATATATATATATATATATATGTAAAAAAATTTTAATCCAAAAATAAATAATAAAAATACTCAGAAAGTATCAGATAAAGTTAAAACATTTATAATGCTTCTGACCTTAAAACATTATGGAGCCTCAAAAATCAAGTTCCATAAATCTGCTCTAAAATATAGTTATCCATGGCACACAGAATGATGCTTTAAGCAAAGCATCACATCTTCCTTGGCAACTCCTTTGGAATTATTATCTGGGTATGGGAGGAAGACTGGAGGAAGAGGTTTTTTGTTTTTCTGATGGAAGTACAGCCTACTCTGGGTTATCCAGACTGACTATCCAGCGTGTGGATGGAGGGTTCTTTGTTTCTTCTTTTGCTTCTGGTCCTCCTCCCTCCTGCTGCCACCTTTTGGTCATTTTATTGCTCCCAAGTATTTCTCCACTAGAGGGGTAGGGAGCCAAGTAGAGATGATACTAAGATGTGTAGCTTTTTAATGACCACTTGAGCAGAAGTCTAAAAGGAGGTTGAAGCAACAAATAAGGTTTCTGGGTAACGCGGTTTTCAGTTATGTGTGCTGCAGCAGTATCGATACTCAGGTGACTCGGGTGTGAGTGGCATTACGGAAATACTACATGAGACAGTTGTTAGAGATCTCACTTAAGTCCTACACACTGGAAATGGAAATGATGACACAGTTGCTTTATTTAAATTATGTTGCATTTAAACACAAAACTGATAACAATAAGTAAATAGAGTTTAGTAATAATGTGAACATACCTTAAAAAAAAAAAAAAGATGTATTTTTATCTATTACAAGGCTGTTATTTCCTGGCCAAAAAGAAATGGAAGACAGCCTCTCCCCTCCTTTCTATCATACTTTAGGTTTTATTTACTAGTATTAGTCACCTCCCACAATCAATGAAGGTGAAGTAAAATGTACTCAGTGTCATCTTCCCTGAGAATAACTTCGGCACTCTTAGGAGTTGCCCTGACCCTGTCAAACCCCTAGAGAACCATTTAATGATCTAAACAAATCTTTTTCTGTAAGAGGTCAGGTAGTAAGTATTTTTGGTTTTGTGGCCCACACAATCTCTTTCACAACTATTGGATTTTGCTGTTGTAGTGTGAAAGCAAACATAGAAAATACACGGTGTGCAAAAGTAGGTTTACAGTTGTAATGAAATAAATACAATAATTAGTAAATAATAATAATCAAGTAATAAGCTGTGTTTTGCATGCTCACAATTATAAATCTACTCTTGCCCATCCTGTATGCAAACAAGAGGATGTGGCTGTGTCACAACAGAACTTTCTGGATACAGAAATTAAAATTTCACTTCATTTTCATGTAAGGAAATCTTATTCTTTTGAATTTTTTTCAATCATTTAAAAATACTGTATAAAAAGGATATATATATATATAAATACTTTAAACAATAAAATAAAACTTAAAAATAAAAAAAAACCTGTATAAAACCTATAGCAGGAGGCAAACTAGATCAGTTTAGTCGACACCCACTCTAAAGCAAGAAGTTATTATGGCGTTCTAGAGATAATTGAAAAGTGTTGACCAGGCAACTAACTGTGTCAAGCCTCAATACTATTGTGGAGCCTAGTGTAATAGATCTTTTTAAACAACAAGGAAAACTATTAAATACAAACAAATATAATCCATCAACCACTGCCACTGCAAGCTGCTACAAAACTGTCAGACAGAACTAAGAGTCACAGGCCTTAGAATTTAACGCTGGGGACCCAGCTGCTCCCCAAGAGTTGTTTAATCCCAAATGGCACTGGGAAATAACGGAATGTTGACACTGAATCCAAAATACTGTCTGGTACTGGCAACGTAATGTAGCTAGTAAAAGCTGCTCCCAGCTGATTTTTGCTGGCTAGCCCTATAATTCCCAGGCACTCCAAGCAAATGGGAAGTGTGGAATCCAGAATCAGATTATCACTCACTACCTTACAGTCTACCCTCAAAGTGTTAAGAGTTTATAATTTAAAATTTTCATTCCATACCTGGTTTGGCTCAGTGGATAGAGCATCGGCCTGTGGACTGAAGGGTCCCAGTTCGATTCTGGTCAAGGGCACATGCCCAGTTGTGGGCTCCATCCCCAGTGGGGTCTTGCAGGAGGCAGCCAATCAATTGATTCTCTTGCATCATTGATGTTTCTATCTCTCCCTCTTCCTTCCTCTCTGAAATCAATAAAAATATATTTTTAAAAATTCCCTGACTTGAGGACTGGAAAGTTTCCAAGACCTCCGTATGGAACCTTAGAGTCACTGTGTCCTTATGAACTGCTCTTACTTGAGTATTTCTTTCCAAGCACCTTAAGCCAGGAGACAAACAGTAGTTCTAAAGAATGTGACAGAGAGCTGGAAACTAACATCCCAGCCTCTGCCTGAACAAAGACCACCTGAGCCAGGGAATTCCCAGTGCCGAGGCAGCTTTTTTAATTCTGGGCAGTTGCAATTATAGGAAAGTTCTTCCTTATTCTGAGTTAAACTCTACCATCTAATACTCCCCGAACTGCTTCTAGTCAAGTCCTTTAGAAATATTCACAATGAGGCTAATCTCTGATTTAAGATAGTTCTTAAAGTACCTGAAGACAGTTCCAAGTGTCTCTTTACAGGCCTTTCAACCTTTCCTTACACATCACTGTTCCCAGGACTCTCACTACTCTCTTGGTTGCTCAGTTTGGGATACACTTGATTTGTGGATATCCTTGGGATGATAGAGTTAGCTGCACAATCTTCTGACTTCCCTACTGCTGTTCAAATCACTATGGTAATAAATAAACACTTTATTTGCCAAGGTGGGTGTGGGTACAACATCGTTACTGAGCGACAGCAAAACATCTTATACAAGTTATACAAAGATGTTTCTCTCTCACAATCTGGAGCCTTCTGCTAGCCCTAAATTTAGTGATTGATGTTATGGCAATGAAATTATTGGCAAGACAGAATCTCATAGAGTTAATGTTCCTAACCCAGCAGAAAAGACTATGAATTAACATATCAGAAAGAGTACTTACAAGAATATCAGTGTTTTCAAAATAATTCCTCCAGTATGGTCTGATTTTCCTCTGTCCACCAATGTCCCATACATTCAGTTTAAACCCTTGTGATTGTACACTTTTGATGTTAAAACCCTGCAACCAAGAAAGGTAAAAAGTTTTATTAAGCTTTGATATCATAATTCTGACAAAGTTACACTGGACAGTTATGTTATTTACTAATTCTGAGGTACTCTGCCAGATGTGACACTGATAATCCTGAAAACAGTTTGCTATGATAGGGAACGAAGAAATGTATTTATACATGCTTACTTCATTCAGGTTAAAGTCAGTGTTAAAACGCCATGGCTAACATGATGTGCTTCCTATCATGAGTACACACACACAACCACTGAGGACAACTTGGTATGAGAGAAGCTCTGATAACACAGGCCATGCCTCTGATGAATCCTCAGGATGGTACATTTAACAGGACATTACTTGTAACTAACAAAAAAACCTTGAAGCTGAATCTGAAAACTTGACAGAACAGAACAAATGCTACATTTAAAAAGGCAATAAATAAATAAATAAATAAAATAAAAAGGCAAAAGCAAAAATCAGGGAGATTGCATTCTTTAGGAGTAGTTCAAAATTAAAAAAAATTTCTCACATGGATTACCTAGGAAAAGAAAGGAGCTGAACTTAGGAAACTCTGGTGGAGGCTGGCTAATAACTGGATTGTGAGCCCCGTGAGAAAGGTAGGGCTGCCGGGACAGCCTGTTCAAACTCTGAAGTAGAGCCCTCAATTATAGGCAGTGATGAAAACAAACCAACAAGCAGGTATTTGAAATTATTCTTTAGTAGGTATCGCTAATGAACCTGAAAAGAGAGCACTCATTTTCAGGACAGGTACTCAAGGTGGAACTTTGGGGAAGGCGAGTAAATCAGAAGCAGGCAGAATGATGAGCTGGGAGGTAGTGTGCAGAGAAACAAATTAACAAGAACTTTGGGGTTTGGAGAGAAGGCATTTCATGAGCAAGAATAAAAAAAAAAATATCTTCTTGCAAAAATGATTTAGTGAAATCAGGCTCTGAAAAATCCAATCACCAGTGTGCTACCCCAGAAATGACATTTCATCCAGAATAGCTGGAGTTAAGCACATCTGGAGATGCCTCCAAACATTTGCCTCATCTGGCAGCCTGCCGGCACTACTGCCTCGCCCAGAAAGACAGGTGCAGTGCAATGGTACAGGAACACTGCCACCGTTTCTCCTGAGGATAAGTAATCACTAGAGAATAACTGGGGTGATGCTGATTGCAGCTCCTCTAAAATGCCAATGACTGAATAAATAGGAAGTTTAAGAACTAAAGGAATGGGACTTCAAATTACTGTAAAAGGCTGCTTCATTCTGACTCATTGACAAAACCACTTTTATGAGCTTAAAAATACTATACATAACTATCATATTACATGTCAAATCCAATTACATTAAATCCTTCTAAAAGGAAGCAGGAAATAAATAAGAGTAAATCCTGGAATTCAACCATATGTATCAACTGTCTTAAAATTCTATTGTCATCAAACCTAATAAATCTACTAAGAAATTATTCTAAGAAAATAATGAGATGTATATTATATTCATATTTATAACAACAAAGAAAGGTGTTACATGCCTTGTATTGAGTGAAAAAGATGGATATAAAACAGCATATTCTCTATAAATCTTTTTTATTTATTTTAAATATATCCATCATATATGCATAGAAAAGAAATCAAATGCATATATCACTAAGTGTTAACAGTGGTTATGTATGAATGGATATTATAGGTAATTTTTAATTTCTCAATTTTACTTATGTATATTTTCTAAATTTACTATAATGAGCATCTATTACTTTTTTAAATATAAAAATAAAAATACAATAAAAGTTTGTTTTTAAAGTATATGAAAACAACTTAATACATGATGTGGCAAAAGTAGGTTTACAGTTGTTAGTACACAAAATAGAGCTTACTCTTGTGTTATTTATTAATTATTGTATTATTTTCCATACAAACAACTGTAAACCTACTTTTGTCCTACCCTGTAGAAAAAGAGTCACCTACAACACATTAAACAAAGCCTGAAAGTTAGAATTGGAACTTTGGATCCATACTTTGAGTTCATTTCCATGGTTGTAGCATGTTCTTGAGAAATACAGCCTATCTCAAATCAAACAAACAAACAAGGCTCCCCCCCCAAAAAAAAAACAAAAAACAAAAAAAAACACACACACACAAAAACCACACCAAAATCCAGCACTTCCTTTTCTGGCTGAAATCCTCGCACACTAATGTTTTCAGCCTTTCTAGGCTATACTACTGTTATATGCTCATCCTTCGACTATACATTAAATTTGTAAACTTGCTCATTTGGTAAGAGTTGAAATGACTTTCCTGCAAAGTGTTTTGAATCAGTAATATTCATAGCTGTGAAGTTCACACCCCCGCACAGCTATTCAAACCTGACACCACACTCTTAGTATAGTATGGCGACAGAAAATGCTAACTAAACCCGGTTTTGCTGACTGTTAATGCTCAAGCACTTTACAGTGACTGGGACTGACTGATAGGGCTGTTCCTAGTTAGGAAACCCAAAGACTTGGCCAAAGGTCCAGCTTTCTCGGAATTTCCAACAGGAAAGGAGTCTGAAGAAGCAGACTGGAGTTTTTCCAACTAGGGCTTGTCTTTCAACTTCCATACAGTGAGCACCACCGTCTTATCCTTTGTGCTTTACTTGCTAAGCATTAGGAAAGAGGAAGGTTGATGAGACTGCATTAAAAATATGGGTGATTTTGCCGAAACCGGTTTGGCTCAGTGGATAGAGCGTCGGTCTGTGGACTGAAGGGTTCTGGGTTCTATTCCGGTCAAGGGCATGTATAATACATTGGTTGCGGGCACATCCCCAGTAGGGGGTGTGCAGGAGGCAGCTGGTCGATGTTTCTCTCTCATCGATGTTTCTAGCTCTCTTTCCCTCTCCCTTCCTCTCTGTGGAACATCAATAAAATATATTTTTAAAAAATATGGGTAATTTTAAAAAATTGATATATATTTGTGTTTATTAAGTCTGAAAAATACACACTGAAAAATACACAAAATATTAACAGTGGGTTTTCTCACAGTACTCTTTGCTTCTCTTTATACTTTCTCTATATTTGCTATATGAATTAATTTGATAATCAGAGAAGATAAAGCTATTTTTTAAAGGAATCTTTTAGATCTGAGGGACTTGATTGTGTCCTGATATAAGTATACATATATATTTGTATTATTTGAAAATTATTTTAAAAATTATAAAATATACATAAAATGAAAATGTACCATTACATTTTTAAGTGTACAGTTGAATGGCATTAAGTACATTTGCAGTGTTGTGCGACTATCACCACCATCCGTCCACAGAACTTTCTTCATCTTGCAACACTGACTCTGTGCCAATCTATATGTATAAAAGCCTAAGTGACCGCTTGACCCAAATGATGCACATTGACCACCAGGAGGGCAGATGCTCAATTAAGCAGCTGCCCTCAGTGCACTCCCATACCCAGGAGTGGTGCTCAGCTGACCGATGGGCACCAGACACCGGGCTCACAGCTGATGAGCACAGCCGTGGTGTCACAAGCCTCTCCTGCCTCTGCAGCAGCACTACAGAGCAGCACTGCGGCAGGCACAGTTTGGCTGGGATGAGCAGGAATTGTGAGGCACTCAGCCTGAGCTTGGACTCCTCCCAGGCAGCCTGCCACTTCCCGCATTACAGACTGTCGGTTTCTATCTTATCCCAGGGTAGGGCCAAAATCGGCAGTCTGACATCTCCCAAGGAGTCCTGGATTGCGAGAGAGCACAGGTCAGGATGAGGGACCTCGTAGGTGCACGAATCCGTGCACTGGGCCTCTAGTTAAACAATAATTCCCAATTTCCTCCTCTCTTTCCAGCCTCTGGTAATCATTATTCTACTTTCTGTCTCTATGTATTTGACTAAGTATCTCATATGAATGGAATCTCGATACATTTTTGAAATCTTAAGATTATTTTATACAGTGTATACTTTTCCCAGTAACAAAACTTAGAGATGGACAAAACTATATTCCCTATTTTGTCTCTCATATTGCTATTATCGTATTCCGTGAGTCCCACAAATATCTGGGGCCAACGCAGTGCTCACCTGTGTAGGTGTGATGTGGCTGATGTCTTCAGATGCAAGCTGCTTCAGAAGGGTGGTCTTGCCAGCATTATCCAAACCCAGGAGAAGGAGTCTCACCTCCTGGTCTGGTGCACTTTTCAATTTACGCAAAATTGAGAGTAAGCCCTTGAACAACCATAAAAAAGATTACTTTTGGGGCATTAACTTTCATATTATCAAACATCAGAGTACCTTCTCCTTGAAAAAAGTTCTCGAAAAAAGTAACGTGGATAGCTTAATTATTATTCTTTCCCGCTTTGATGCCATTTGTTCCATTTGCTTTCCCCTTCTATATTTTGGCAGAAGTAGGCTAGTAAATTCAACAACTTAATAAATAGCATGGCTTATTCCTGCTCCTTCTATTAATCCAGTTTAGTAATCACCCCAAATCTCCTAAAGCTCTTTATATAAACTTAGAGTACAGTACTCATCATATCAGACTACAGGTGACTGACTTTTGTATTTTCCTCCTTTAGTAGAGTGAAGCTTCTCATGGTTAAGGACTATAGTTTCTATTTCCCACATGCCTGGCACTAGATAGATACTAGATAATAGTTGTTTAATTAAACAGAATTAACACCCAAGTTAATGTAAGTTAAAGGTGCTATACAAAGAAATACAAAAAAGTTATATAAAATTGTATTTGGGCTTTCTGTTTCAGACTTCTTCATTTATTAATAGCTCTGGCCCAGTAGCTCAGATGGTTAGAGCGTTGTCCTGATATATTAAGGTTGCAGGGCTTATACAAGAATCAATGCATAAACCAGTGGAACAACAATTTGGTCAGGGAACATACAAGAATCTCTCTCTAAAAAAATCAATAAATAAAATTTGAAAAAAGAAAAGAAAAAATAATTCATCATTCAAAATACTTGATCATCATGAGACCCTTACAGGACAGGCACACAGTGTGGATTATCTGTGTGTTTTTTTTCTTTCCAGATTTGTTCCAATAAGGCATAGTTACAAGAACCAAAGAATACCAGATTTTAAAGGGCATTTAATCTAATCTCCCAGCTCAAGCAGAAATCCCTTCAAACTCAATCTTAGAATTATATAAAATGGTCATATATATATATTTTTTTAAATATATTTTATTCATTTTTTTACAGAGAGGAAGGGAGAAATGTCGATGAGAGAGAAACATCGACCAGCTGCCTCCTGCACATCCCCTATGGGGATGTGCCCGCAACCAATGTACATGCCCTTGATCGGAATCGAACCCGGGACCTTTCAGTCCGCAGACCGATGCTCTACCACTGAGCCAAACCGGTTTCGGTTAAAATGGTCATATTTTTTTTTAATCTGCATTGCATCAGGCAATTATTCAAACCAGTCTATTCACTAGGATCAAATAATTCTATGAAATAATTCTCAACAACTGAGTCTGTGGACAATGATATGCAAATATGCATAATTTTTAAGAATTCCTTTCTCTTGAGAGTCTCTTTGTTTACTACTTCTAGTACTGTATTTGCACTGACTTGCTAAGGACCACATTAACCTCTCTATGCCTCAAATTTTCCAACATTAAAATGGAAGGTTTGGTTAAAGACAGAAAGACAAATTCTACACCAAAAGATTTGGGAAAGAGAAGCTGAACAGATTTGAAACTAACCAACAAAAGATAGACATGACACTTCTTTAGTTTTCATCTCTTCTGGCCTTGAATACTTTGACACCATTCCTTTTTTAAACTATATTTATGAGAATTCTCCCTGGCTTCTGTTAGCCACATTGCAATCACTCATTTATAATACCCTCTTTCAGAACAGTTAAAATTAGAATTCTGAGATCCTCAGGGGACTGGGATATAAAAAAGCTAAGAAAAGGAGAAACACATTGTACTACTCCTGAGTTCCTGGTTACATGTCCTCATTACCTTTCCAATAAAATTATAAAACAACTGGAGTTTATCCCATTAGAACATTGAACAACAGTACAGGTACAGTTCTTCTCATGCATTTTCTACTAGTGTAGAAATCGTGAAAGAAGGTCCGTTTTCTATAAAATATTTTGAAGGTTCAAAATGAATGTTTCCTCACGTGTCTTTTCTTTTGAAAAACTATTAAATAAAAATACTGCATTCTGCAGGCTGAAATTTTTTTATGCACTCATTCTATTTGAAACTGATTAAAAGAAAAATACAATTTCTATTCATCTTAAAAGGAGAAAAGCAAAGCACAGATGAGAAAGAAATCATTTTAACTATAGTTAAGCTTTATTAACCTAATGGTATACAAAACAAGGCATCTACATTTCTAATGGGCAATATTCCTCAGCGGGAAACAATGGCTTCACATGTTTCACCTTTAAGTAAAATTACTGAGAATGAAAAGTTCAGCTAATATTTTCTTCCAGCAAAATAATAAATGGCATTTCAAGCATGGTCCAGGAGAGACAAATGCAAATACAATACAGCCTCATATTAACCCAACTACTGAGCACAGGGGATCACAGGATTACAGGGTTTGCTAAATAGGGAAGAGGATATTTATAGATATCAGGATTCTGCCTGAAAGGTACAAAGTAAGCTGGAGGAAAGAGAACAGAATAAGTCTATTCTGTGTTTCTATCTATATAGGTCCATATTTCATTTTAAATGTCAAATGAAAGAAGGCAGACATTAGAAGTTAATTTTATTATGGAGCTAAGTGTGCAGCATAAATCCAAGGGAATGGATTTTATTTTTTTATTTTTAAAAAAATATATTTTATTGATTTTGTACAGAGAAGAAGAGAGAGAGACAGAGTTAGAAACATCGATGAGAGAGAGTCAGCGACCAGCCGCCTCTTGCACACCCCCCACCGGGGATGTGCCCACAACTAAGGTACATGCCCTTGACCGGAATCGAACCCGGGACCCTTCAGTCCCCAAGCTGACGCTCTATCCACTGAGCCAAACCGGTCTCAGCGGGAATGGATTTTAAAGGTGTATTTTTTGTCAAAACATTCATTCATTCATTAAATTCCCATAATGTGCCCAAGTGCAGTAGTGAATAAAATAGACACGATCTCTATGCAGGATTTGTGTTCCTATGCCATTAAACAAAGGCAATTTAAGAAACAAGAACTTCACTTCTCTGTGGATTGTTATCACCATGCATGTACTAATATACAAGTTGTATGCACCCTGGTGGACAAAAGTGGTCTAACTCACCCATAAATGTTTATACAAACTTTCTTACAGGCAAATCATGAAGAGGTGTGCTACATTATTCCTGCCTCAAAATCAACTTAAACTCAACTACTGGCAGAGGCGTGGAAGCACTGACCTAAAATGATACAAACTAGGTCATTTAAAGAAACTGGTGTAGTGGAGGGGGGAAAGGAAGATAATGGTATCGATATATGGAAAATGCATGCGGCTCTGAGGAGCAGCTAACACTTAAATAATCCAAAGTCATAAGGCAACTGTCACGTGCATGCACTCCCCATGACTAGCTTAAATAGAACTGACTTCAATTTATTTTTACCTTTTTAATCTAACAAAAAATTGGTGCTGCCTAGTAAGACCTTACTAATTTTCAGGAATTCCTATAGTTTAATAGAAAGAACTTCACCCAAATTTTGCCTTCTTTCTCCTCATCTCTCAACTAAATAAAACACCATGTTTCTTGAGGAACAAAATATGGGTATCTTCTCCGAAAGACTGTGGGTTCCCGCCTCATCAGAATACTAATGAAAAGAACATCATGGGTTTTAGAGTTTCATAGATTTGTATTCAATTTCCCTATATATGTAACTCCAGGCATAGTTAGATCTAGAAAATGGGGACAATACTTTTAAGAAAAATGTTAGAGCCCTGGCCAATGTGGCTCAGTTGGTTGAGCATCATCCTGTGCACCAAAAGTGTGCCTGTTTGATTCCCAGTCAGGGCACATACCCAGGTTGCAGGTTCGATCCTGGGTTGGGTACTTACGGGAGGCAACCAATAAATGTTTCTTTCTCACATCGATGTTTCTCTCTCTCTCTCTCTCTCTCTCTCTCTCTCTCTCATCAATAAAAACATTTTTTAAAAAAGAAAAAATGTTAGGAAGATTAATAAGGTAATGCATGTAAAGCATAGGCACATATTAGGCACTCAAAACCATTGTTGTGTTTCTTCTTCTTCTTTTTACTTTTCAATGACTATGTCTGACCAGAAAACAATCTTGGCAACCATCTTCAAATGTTTAATACTATCACTAGGTTCATACATGTAGAAAGCCGTCAGTAAGTAATTCCTGAATGAAGGAGTCATTATTAAATAACAATAATTAGTTATACCCTAAAATTACTGCCATTTTAGTATTTCACCAAGGATGTAGAATCATAAGGGGGGGCGTAAAATAGCTGACCCTAAATGTTCAGAGAAACCTCAATGGGTTTTTGTTGTAGTACTCTCCAAATTAAAAGTATGTATTAGTCATAGCTGAAGATATATTAAAAAAACAAAAACAAAACCACACCCCCAAACCCAACAACCTGGGACTTACTGTTCAGTTGAACAGTTACCATGGGGGCCCATGGGATACAAGATGTGACACCACTGACCCTTTAAATTCCATGTTCCACTTTCAGTTCTAAGAATAGCTTGTACTTTGGGAGACAGGGGAAAAAGTGTATTTTGGAAACCAGATAAAGAATCCAGAATAATTTGTCCTAATTTCCTATTGCTCATTTTAAGTAAAAAGAAAAACAAAAAAACAAATCTGTCTTGATCACTGAACAGAACAGTTGCATAACAATGTTGTATACACTGTATTTGTTGTATGCAGTGTACTTTTCACCTGGAAACATGAGCAGTGGTTAATTTATTGTGGTCCGTAATTATAAGCTAAACAATCATGAAATTACAGCCCATTTGATTGATAAAAAAAAAAAAAAACTGGGAAAAAGGCTACTCTCATACATTTCTCATTTAGGATGACATCTCATTCTCAAGTAGGTTGGCATGCCTTTTTCATTTCAATTCTAGTTATTTTCAATAAATATAGATATATGTTTATATTCATTTGTTGAGAAAAGCTTAGCCTTTAAATGGACAACTCATGTATACAGGATTAATAAAAAGAAAATGTAAAAATCTATTTAGCCTGAGGCTAATAAAACTACAATGTAGCAAGTGTGAAATGTGATTGGCAACTTTAGATCAAATAATTCTACTTCTTTATCAGTCTGACAGTGTAAAATCAATAGAAAATTTTTTTCTTATCGACATTTACTCATTAGATAATCTGACCAAAGGTACATATTTTTTCCTTGTGAACACTTAGTAGCTTTTTCTTCTAAATCAATAGAAATGGTTCACCCTGGGTTCTTTCAGAAGTAAATAAAGATAAAAATTATGAACAACAAATACGTAACTATCAACAAGTGATTCCAAAAACCAAGAAAATTAAAAAAAAATCTGATGAACAATATTAACTGTTGAACATAATAGTATCATAGGTATGGAAGGGGAGTGAACTGACAATTCTCGGGGAAAAGGGGAGAGGGGGATGTGGGAAGAGACTGAACATAAACTGTGCACCTATGGATGAGGACAGTGGGAGGTGGGGAAAGGGCAGAGGGTGGGGTGGGAACCTGATGGAGGAGAGCAATGGAGGGGAGGGGGGAAAGGAACATTTGTAATAATATGAACAATAAAAATTTATATTAAAAAAGAAAGAAAGAAAGAAATGGTTCACCCTGGCCAGTGTGGAGCATTGAGAAGTCGCTGGCTCTATTCTGATCAGGGATATGCCTAGGTTTCGTGTCTCTCTCCCCCTCTCCCTTTCTCTCTGTCTAAAATCAATAAAGACATATTAGATGGAAATATATATATATATATATATATATATATATATGTGTGTGTGTGTGTGTGTGTATATATATGCAGTTCAACATTTCTAAAAGTCAAAAAGAGATTGGGGTTGGGGTAGGGAACTGACTCTTAAGTGTGAGTGCTGGCTCTTTACAGTTGGAAAGCCAACCAACCTGTTCTAAACGCTTCAAAATCCATTTTTCTTTGCTTCCTCCTAAGACTACCTAATTTCATTTTAACACCCTCCAGTTAACTTCAAAGAAATCATCAAGGAACAGAATGTCAACGGTCAAATCTGTCACACATCATACTTTACAGTTTTGGGAAGGTTTCCTTAGGTCTGACGGAGAAAAGAATTGCCCCAGGTTGATGCCCACCCTATAGTTTTCATTTCCCACTCCATTTCGTTTGCAGACCCCACGCAGGAATTGCCCCTGTGGTTCTGGTGTGGCCATCCGCAAAAGGAGGCTGCAGCAGGTTCTGCAGGAAATGTCAGGGACTGGGCAGCAAATCTGCTTCCATCTGCATGGATTAAGTATCATCACGTACAACCAGACCTTGCAGAAGCCTCAGCAAATAGCTCAGGACTGCAGAAGCATGCCCGCCACACACACACACACACACACACACACACACACACACACACGGAACACACCGAGGCAGCCTAAAATCCACCAGGCACATCTTCTAAGCGGGCCCTCTTTTGTGTCCTGGGATTTACACCCTGCCCCCCAGGCGGCCGCACACCGCTAGGTGAAAAAAAAGGAGCGCTAGGCTACCAACTCCCACGGTACCGCTAGGGCGCCCTGAGCCGCGGGAGCGCTGGCTCCGCTCCCCGCTTCTGGCCCGGGGGGACCCCAATGTCTGGCGGCGTGAGGAGGCCAGTGCCCTGGGAGGATCTAAGCCTGAGTGTGGAGACCGCTCTGCGCAGCTCCGCGGCTCCGCCCTCACCCCAGTCCCCAGAGTAATGATGGAGCCCAGGCTCCGAACGGAACCTCCACGCACCCTTCCTGCCCCCTCTCCCCGAGCTTCAGACCGCTGCAAGTCCCGCCTTCCTCCCCAGGCCCGGGTCCCACACCCTCGGGGTTCCCCGCCGCCCCGCGAAACCGACCCAAGACCAGCCAGCAAGCTGAGCTCCATCCCATTCCCAACTTTGCTGTAAGCGCGGTGCCCCGCCCTGGGCCCGGGGCCGAGATGGGGAGTAGGGGTAGAAGGAGAGGGATGACCGACGGGATTAGGAGGGGCCCAGGCCCCCATACTCACCATCCTTCTGCCGAGTCCCACCTCCTCCTCCTCCTCCTCCTCCTCCTCCCTCTCCCTGTGCCACCCCCGTTACCAGGGGCAACTGTTGTGGCGCCGCCCCCGACGTCCCTCGCACGCACCGCGGCGGAGCTAAGCAATAGAACGCGCGGGTTCCCGCGCCGCCGTCCCCGGAGTGCGCAGGCGCGCCGCGGTTCCCGCCCACTGCGCAGGCCCGCCCCCGGGACGGCGGGAGGCTCTGGAAGAGTGAAAACTCGCCCACGTGGCCGAAGGGCGGCCCGGCCTGTGATTGGTCGGGAAGGAGCGGCGTGGGGGCGGGGCGAGGGGAGGTTCCCGGCGGAGTCTGACGGGGCTTCCCGGCCAAGCCTGCACGCACTCTTCCCGGGACCAGGTAAGTGGTCTTGGGAGCCGGCCGCCTGCTGCCCAGTCTACCTTTTAGTTCTCCAGTCCCGGGAGGGGGCTTGTGTGTCTGTCCACACTCTGACCGGGCTGGCCTGCAGCGCCGCCTGGGCTTCCACCTGCTGGAGCCACGTGGCGAGCGGAGCGGCCGGGCTCTGCCCCTGGACCTCTCCCGTGTGGCCCCCAGCAAGCTCCAACTGTCAGTCTGAGGGGAGGGGGCCGAAAGGGTGGTGCACCCTTCTCCACACTCCGCTGTGAAAGTCTGGGGTGGAGGAGGCCAAGGGGTGGGAGGCTGCCTGTCCGAGGAGGCGACAAGCTGCTGAGGAGCTGGTCCTGAGCCCTGAAGTGAGCTGACAGCGCGGGTGAAAGACGTGGTGGGTTAGCCGGGGTTTTGCTAAGTGATTTTAGGCCCGGGAGGTACGACTTTTGCAGTCCCCAAGGAGGCGCGCACACACACACACACACACACACACACACACACACAAATAATAATAATAATAATAATAATAATAATAATAATAATAATAATAAAAATGGGCCTATTCTTCTAGGCATCTAAGACGGAGAGGGAGTCTGGGTGAGTTGGGAGGTCCTATCTCCCACCCCCTCCCCAGGCAGAGGACAGGAAAAGAGTATTCACAGGGAGCCAGATCCTGGAGACACAGCAGCGCACAAAATGTACCCTCTTGGATATTACATCCTTATTTCGCACAATATTTCGTTTCATTCTCAACCCTAGGAAGTGGTTAGTTTAAGCAATGGAGAGGAGATTTGAACCCATTTCTGTCTGACTCTTATGTAAGTTCTTTTATTGTTATTTTTGTGTGTGTGTTTTTTTTATTTTTTTTAATCAATCTTTATTGTTCATATTATTACAAAGGTTCCTCATTTCTTCCCCCCTCCACCAGGTTCCCATCCCACCCTCCGCCCCCTCCCCATCCCCCATTGTCCTCATCCATAGGTGCAGTTTATGTTCAGTCTCTTCTTCCCTCCCTTTCCCCAATAGTAAATCCTTTTTCAGATAGTAAATCAGTTACTTAGCATTTTCTCAAATCAATAATACCTCCACATGCCCAATGATACACTTCACACAAAAGACATTTCCCAATAGGTCAACTAGCCTCATCCAGGCCCCACCCAAGGCACTCACAGATCAACCCCAGCCCTATACTAACTCAACACATCCAGATCTAAGCCTTCATCACTTGATTCAGCAGACCCTCAAGTTCCCGCGAAAGTTTCCAGCCATGTCTGAGAGGCAGCATTGGGGTGGGGGTTATGTAAGTTCTTTTAAACGTTTTTGTATTGTCCAGAACAGAGTGGTCTATATTTGTGATGTAAACCTAGAACTTTTTAATAACCGATATAGTGTGTGTGTGTGTGTGTGTGTGTGTGTGTGTGTGTATGTGGGGTGGGGGGGATATACCTTGACTGGACATGCCTGTGTGCCTCTTACTCACCTCCCTGGGTAGGTAAGGATTATACGAATTATAATTGGAGATTATATAAATTATTATTATTTTTTTTTTTTTTTAAATATATTTTATTGATTTTTTACAGAGAGGAAGGGAGAGAGATAGTTAGAAACATCGATGAGAGAGAGTCATTGATCAGCTGCCTCTTGCACACCCCCTACTGGGGATATGCCCGCAACTAAGGTACATGCCCTTGACCGGAATCGAACCCGGGACCCTTCAGTCCCCAAGCCGACGCTCTATCCATTGAGCCAAACCGGTCTCGGCGAGATTATATAAATTATTATATGTCCAGTTTATAGAACATTGCCTGGCACATAGGAAGTGCTATATAGGACTTAGCTATTACAGTCATGCACCGCATAACTTAGGTATCAATCAACAGTAACATGTGTTCATATATGTTGGTGACCCCCATAAGATTATAATGAAGCTGAAAAATTCCTACTGCCTAGTGACTCTTGTAGCTGTTCTAACATAGCACATTACTCATGTGTTTGTGGTAATGATGCTTAAATAAACCTCCTGTGCTGCCAGTCATATAAAAGTATAGTACACACAATTATGTACAGTACATCATGCTAGAAAATAAGCAACTATATTAATGGTTTATGTATTTACCATACTGTACTTTTTATTGTTATTTTAGAGTATACTCTTTATACTTATAAAAAAAAAAAGTTTGCTGTACAACTATTCTGTTACACTGGCAGCAGCCTCCTACCTATCATGTTTACCGTGTCTCTTGTTTTCATCATTTTCTCTTGCACTTGATTTAAATTTGTATTGTTTTATACAGTAACATGCTGTACAAGTTTGTAGCCTTGGAGCAATAGGCTAACCTATATGGCCTAGGTGTGCAGTAAGCTGTACTATCTAGGTTTGTGTAAGGCACTCTGGTGTTCACACAACTGCAACGTTACCCAATGAGGCATCTCTCAGAGTGTATTCCTGTCGGTAAAGTGGAGCATGACTGTATTAATAGTTTCACCTAGGTTTTTAGACTTTGCCCCTCTTCCTGTCAGCAGGTTTTCTAGTCTGGTGAAGATCATTGGAACGAAGGCAGACTTCCCCTGAATGGTCCTTAGCTATTTAAGAATCCAACCAAAGTAATTTTTTAAATATCTGCTCGCTGCATACCTGCTTCAGATCATTGGAGAGAAAACTCAGTTAACATCCTTGACTAAGGAAGTGCAAGATGAATGGTTAATTCAGAGCGTCATTCCTACAGTCTACCTGTCTGTCTTCTGGCTCTTTTGTGGAAAAAGGCATGGCAGACTTCTCACAGTTGTTGCCCTGGAATCACATAAGTGTATGTAAGCATATACCTAGGACTGCTTGTTTAATTTTAAAAAATTTATTTCATTGATTTTTTTACAGAGAGGAAGGGAGGGGGATAGAAAGCTAGAAACATGATGAGAGAGAAACATCCATCAGCTCCCTCCTGCACACACCCTACTGGGAATGTGCCCGCAACCAATGTACGTGCCCTTGACCGGAATAGAACCTGGGACCTTTCAGGCTTATGCTCTATCCACTGAGACAAACTGGTTTCGGCTTGTTTAATTTTTAGTATCATTCTCCAATTTGCCCTGTGCAGACTTGACACCAATCCTTGCCATTTCAATGGTCTTTGGTCGCTTTGATCTTCCTCTGATATGAGTACCAGCCGTAATGTCTTTTTTATCCCTCCCTGGGACACCTTGGGTACTTCCCTTCCCTTGCAAGAAGATTTCCCAGAATGGGGGTTGGAAGTCTGTTTTCTGAGCCCTGATATTGTTTACCAGAGAAAATTAACTCTCTCTGGCAGGATGAGTGTTCTTCCTGAGATTTAGTAGATTATTTCATTTCTTCCTATCTACCTGTCTGTCTGTCTGTCTATCTGTCTATCTATCTATCTATCTATCTATCTATCTATCTATCTATCTATCTATCTATCTATCTATCTCCTTAACGAGTAACCTATAGTGGATAGAACACCTACCTAGATGACCCTAGGCCTGTGACCGAGGGAAAGTAAGGCCTAGCTATTGCCAGATCTTTGGATGGATGTACAGGACTGGATCTGTTTGTTGTTCGTGGAGGGCTGGGCAGTGCCACAAACGCTGGCTCAATCATGTGAGCCTTTCTAGGCATTAGTCTCCTGTTCTGTAAACTGAGATATCTTGTATTCACCCCTAACCCTAGAAGGAAAGGGAGTTATCTGTCCATCACTGTTTGACCTCCATCTCCCCCCCTGTTCTCAGCAGTGGAACCCTATTTCTCCGTTAGAGGGGCCATGCTGGACAAGATAGTGACCTCTTTAGGGAGTACTAGATGTGGCTCTGTGGGAAGAGGGAGGGTAACTGGAAGAAAACTTAGAGACTAGATAGGATGCAGAATAAGCAGGGTAGACAGTTTGCATCTTTGTTAAAGAAAACCTGCTGTTTGGTAACAAGGCAAGTTCTGAGTTTAGATTTAAAAAAGGTAACATTTCCTTGATGTCAGGAGAACCCACGGATAAGTTGGAATGCATTTCAAGTAGGCAGTTAGTGTCTTTGGGAGGTCGATGAGAGATACAGCATGAACCTTACAGTCTATCAGGGAAGTCAGAGTTCACACAGTAACTGTAAATAAGAAGGTGACAGTTCCAATGGCCCAACATGCTGCCAGTGAAAACAGGATGCTAGGGGAGCATGGGACAGAAGGGCTGAGTTTGGCCGGGAAGGAGTCATAGAACTGTGCCCTGTGGGGCATTGATGTGGGGAAGATGTTCCAGACAGAGAATTTAGATCTTATTTTGCCTATTTGTACATCAGATGAGGACTGGACAGGTACTGTCCTGACCTCAGTAATGAAGGCAAAGGTTCTTGCAGAATTTAGCAAATGATTACTCCAGGGTTGGGTTGAGGGTGGTGAGAGATTATGAGAAGTGTGTATGTGTGTGTGTGTGTGTGTGTGTGTGTGTGTGTGTGTGTGTGTGTGTGTGTGTTGTAGCAATTTGCTCTGCTGGGCTGTTTCAGGGGGTACCAGTGTGGGGCTCTGTAAGCCAAATCGGTGTGTGATTTGCTGTTTAGGCCAACTTCTTATAGGTTCTTTTGGAGTCAGATGAACGCTTTCCCCTCTTCCACTCCTGGCTCAGTTGGGACCGAGTGAAACGCCTTTGGTCTCTGAACCAGCCTGCAGGAGGCCAAGTTAGCCTGTTCCTGGAGGGCAAAGCCCAGAGCTCCATGGGCACAAGCTGTGCATGTGAACGTGTACTTTCTGTGTACGGAAAATTCTGAGTTAAGGTGATATTTTAAAGGGGAAAAAAAGGCATATAACCTAGTAGTGGAAGATATAAATTAAATCTGAAAATTATTCATTAAAAAAATGAGTAGGTGTTATTTAGTGAAGAGGGGAAGGAATAGCACTCTGGACAGGGAATGTATTTGCAAAGGAACAGGTGGCAGGCAGCCTATTGCATTTCAGAAAGTCCTATGGGCCCTAAATGGTTTGGCTCAGTGAATAGAGCGTCGGTCTGCAGACTGAAAGGTCCCAGGTTCAGTTCCGGTCAAGGGCATGTACCTTGGTTGTGGACACATCCCCAGTGGGAGGTGTGCAAGGAGGCAGCTGATTGATGTTTCTCTCTCATCAATGTTTCTAACTCTCTACCCCTCTCCCTTCCTCTTTGTAAAAAAAATAAAAAAAAATTCAATAAAACATTTTAAAAAAGAAAAAAGAAAGTTTTCTGGCTCTTGAAACTCAACATGTGGAAAAATAAAACTTACTGTCCCGCCCCCCCCCGAAAACTATTTTTCTATATTCTCAGACTCAGCACATTTTTGCCCAAATCAGAAACCCCAGGTATCACTCTAAATATTTGTGATGTGTCAACTTGACTAGGCCAAACAAAACTCCTTAGCATCCCCCTCCCCCCTCATATGTTTGTATTGGGCTATGAGGGAGAAGCAGCCGTTCCTAGCCAATCCCTTCCCACACACTTTCTCCCAGTTATTCCATGGAACACTAATTTAGGGGCTGTGGTGAAGGAATTTTGCAAATGTAATTAAAATCCATAATGGGTTGGTTTTGAATTAACCTAAAGGGAGATTATCCTGGGTGGTCTGACTTAATCAGATGGAATCCCTTTAAAAGAGGGCTAGGCCCCCCAGGAGTCAGAGACAGCTGGGCCTGCATTACTTCCCTTTCCCCCAGGATCAGCCCTTTCTGACAGTCTCTTTTATTGACCTCCTGCTTACTTAGCCAACTCCCACAATTACATAAGCCAATTAGCTAATTCCTTGTACTAAATCAAATTTTATCAGTGTGTGTGTGTGTGTGTGTGTGTGTGTGTATGATTTTTGTTGTTGTTGGCGGAAACAAAGTTTATGGTGGATAGACAGACCTCCTGCCGTAAGAGGGCAGCAGGAAGGGGGCCCAGAGTGGATTGCTTGTGTATGAGATTTTATATGTCTATATATTTCTTATTGATTCTACTTCTTTACTTAAACCTGACTCATAATATTCCTCTTATACCTGATCACTTAGGTTCTCTCATTTTGGGCCCTCCTCTCTGATTAGTGCATTTGAGCTCCACTTCTTGCCTGGATTATTAGGGTCCCCTTCCAGTTCCTCTTTCTGAGTCTTTATCTCATACTAGAGGCGCAGTGCATGAAATTTGTGCACAGGTAGGGTCACTAGGCCTGGCCAGCGATCAGGGCCAATCAGGATCTTCCTTTGTTCCATGCCACCACCTGGTGGTCAGCGCAAGTCATATTAACCTTTTATATAGGATGATTGTTCTGTATAAGCTATACATCTGATCTTGTCACTCTTCCTAAAATTTAAAAAAAAAAATATATATTCCATTGATTTTGTACAGAGAGGAAGGGAGAGAGATAGAGAGTTAGAAACATTGATGAGAGAGAAACATTAATCAGCTGCCTCTTGCACACCCCTACTGGGGATGTGCCCGCAACCAAGGTACATGCCCTTGACCGGAATTGAACCCGGGACCTTACAGTCTGCAGGCTGACACTCTATCCACTGAGCCAAACCGGTTTCGGCATCTTCCTAAAATTTTTTAATGGGTTCCTAAATTTTTAAATTTTTATTTATTTATTTTTAATATACTTTTATTGATTTCAGAGAGGAAAGGAGAGGTAGAGAAATATAGAAACATAAATTATGATAGAGAATCACTGATTGGCTGCCTTCTGCATGCCCCACACTGGGGATCAAGTCCACAACCTGGGCTTGTGCCCTGACCTGGAATCGAACCATAACCTCCTAGTTCATAGGTTGATGTTCAACCACTGAGCCAAGCTGGCTGGCCTTCTTCCTGAAATTTTTAGGCAAAAGTTTCTAAGCCTTAGATTTTTGTTTGACTCCAGTTTCTCTCTTCTCTTAGCATATCTATTATTAATTTTTCTTTTGGGAAAATTTTTTAGTGGTTGCCCTAAAAATATGCAATATGCATTTTTAACTAACTCAAGTCCACTTTCAAATAATACTATACCACTTCATTTCAAGTACCTTATAATAGAGTATTCTCAGTTCCTCCCTCCCATCCACTAAATCATTCACTTATCTACAGCTATAATCACGGGATACATGGTTGGTATCATTATTTTGAATACACTGTTATCTGTTTACAATTAGAATAAGAAAAGTAAAAATTTTTTAAAATATATTTTATTGATTTTTGAGAGAGGGATAGAGAGTTAGAAAGATCGATGAGAGAGAATCATCGATCAGCTTCCTCTTATACACCCCCCACTGGGGATGTGCCCGCAACCAAGATACATGCTCTTGACCGGAATCAAACCTGGGACCTTTCTGCAAGCTGACACTCTATCCACTGAGCCAATCCGGTTTTAGCCTCCTTTATTTTTATTTATTTATTTATTTATTTATTTATTTATTTATTTTTATGGTGAAAATGTGACTTTTTTTTTTTTTAAATCAATCTTTATTGTTCATATTATTACAAAGGTCCCTCATTTCTTCCCCCCTCCACCAGGTTCCCACCCCACCCCCTCCTTTATTTTTTAAAGGATCGTTTTGTTTGATGCAGAATTCTAGGTTGATGGGTTGTTGTTTTATACTTTCAACACTTAATAGTAAATATTTCACTCTACTCTTGATTACATGGTTTCTAAAGAGATGTCTGATGTAATTCTTTGCTCTAAGTAAGGGTTTTTTCCCCTCCTCTTTCTGGCTGCTTTCTTGATTTTCTGCGGCTTGAATATAATATGCCTAGGTGTAGATTTTGGGGCATTGATCTTGCTTGGTGTTCTCTGAGACTCCTCAATTTGTGGTTTGGTGTCTGTCATTAATTTTGGAAATTTTTCAGTCATTACTTTTTTTTTTTTTTTACACCAAGCAACATACATAGCTGCTTTTCAGTCATTACTTCTTCAGATATTTCTTCTTTTCCTTTCTTCTCCTTCTGGTATTCCCATTATGTGTTTGCCACATTTTTGTAATTGTCTCAAGATTCTTGGTGGGAGAGAGAGAGAGAGAGAGAGAGAGAGAGAGAGAGAGAGAGAGAGAGAGAGAGAGAAAGAAAGAAATATCAATGATGAATGAGAATCCTTGATTGGCTGCCAGAAGCACTAAGGGATAGTTTTCTGATCTTCACCTTGAGAACCTAGTGGGCTCCTGGAGGTAAAACTCACAAAAGTAGTGTCCCCCAAGATTGAGTCCCCACTTGTCCACATCAAGCTCCAGAAATTCATTAATTACAGTTTTAAGTTTTCCCGTGAGACTTGCCCTGGCAGTGGGCTTCTGCTTTCAGTGAGCTGTGTGTCTCCTTACCTGCCTCCAGGTTTTGAGGCGGTGGTTTGCCCTGTGATCTCAGTTCTCTGATGGGTCTAAGAATAGTTGTTGATGTTTAGTTTGTTCAGCTTTTTTTCTTGTTGTGAGGGTAGGAGTAACATTGTGCACACCACAAGCTTTCAGTGCTGGCTCTTCCTTTTGCCTGAAATACTGCTCTTCCATCTATTTAACATCTATGCGTATTTCCAAAGCATTGTTTATTTCTCATACTGACAAAGTGTGTTCAGAATCCCTCATCTAGCCCAGAACCCACGATGGCAGGCTGTGGGGGTGGAAGGGTGGCCGTGGAGTGGGGGATTTGGGACCTAGCATGGTGGCTGTGGGGCTGACAAATGGAGAAGAAAAAGCCTTTGGTGGCTGTGAAGGCCCTGATGCCGCGTATGTCAAGTTGATATCTTCAGATGGTCATGAATTCATTGTAAAAAGAGAATATGCATTAACATCAGGAGCAATAAAAGCCATGTTGAGTGGCCCATGTCAAGTTGCTGAGAATGACAAATGAAGTCAGTTTTAGAGAGATCCCTTCATATGAACTATCAAAAGCATGCATGGCTGAGACTGGTTTGGCTCACTGGATAGAGCGTTGGCCTGCAGACTCAAAGGTCCCAGGTTCGATTCCGGTCAAGGGCATGTACCTTGGTTGCTGGCACATCCCCAGTGGGGTGTGTGTGTGTGTGTGTGTGTGTGTGTGTGTGTGTGTGCGCGCGCGTGCGCACGCACGCAGGAGGCAGCTGATTGATGATTCTCTTTCGTCGATGTTTTTAGCTCTCTATCCCTCTCTCTTTCTCTTTGTAAAAAATCAATAAAATATATATTTTTTAAAAAGCATGCATGTATTTTACTTTCAAGGTTTGCTACACTAACAGCTTCTCAGAGATTTCTGAATTCCCAATTGCACCTGAAATTGCACTGGAACTGCTGATGGCTGAGAACTTCCTAGATTGTTAAATAAAATAAATTATAATAAACTGTTAGCTATTTTCAGTATTTAATACCGGTAGTTTGGTTAGTAATTTTTTCATAGATAGCATGTTGCTTGTGTGTGATTGAACTTTAAAGTCCATTGCAAAGCAGACTATCGTCTCTTCTTTTGCATGACACAGTTGAAATTTGTTTTGCTACATCAGCAGATTAAGGACATATTCACCAATTGAGAAATAAACAAATATGCCATTTGCTCAGTAGTTTGTCCTTACCCTTTGGATGTGATTTTTAAAATCAGAGCAGTGGCGATATAGTAAATGCTGAAATTTAGTTATAAATGAACATATTCTACAGGTAAATATTGGGGCTATGTATTTTTATGTTCTTGTGTTGTTGTTTTTAAACCTATTCTGATCTTATAGCTGTCATTACCTTTATTAAAATTATGCAAATAATTGAATTGTAAACATGTTTATAACTTAGACATGTTGATTTTTATAACTGTCAAAGACATGAGTTGAAATTTCTTATCTGTCTTTTGATAAACTGCAGTATTGTTTTAAATGTATCTTGTCTTTTTGTTCATTGCTAAAATTTAAGAACTTTAAAAGCAATTTGGAAGATTACTTGGTAAGGCTATTGGAGTAGTGACCTTTTGAACTGTAGCCACGTGGTCAATAAGTGAAGTACAAGACCTGGATTTCATGTGTACTGTGCATTTTGGCCAACCCAAAGTATTGTATTTTCATTGATTACAAAGCTTTCTTTGCAATTTTCATTCTTCTTACATAGGCCCTTGTTGTGATTATACTTCTGGTTGCTTAAATGTTTTAAAAGATTCACTGTGAACTTTACCCACATCTTAAAAGCTGTACTTTTCTGAACAAATCCAGTCTTCCTGTATCCAACTGAAATGTTATAAAATATGACAAGCATGTGGACAGATATAGGGCAAATCTTATAATGCACTGTGATATGGTATATCAATTATCTTCTATTAATTAAAATGTGTCCCAATAAATATGCCCATCATCTGTGGGTCTCCTACTGATATCTATCTTGTAAAGAGGTTATTCAGCTTTTATACTAAGCAGACCAAAAATATTTCAAAAGCTATGACAGAGCATCTCTGCTTGGGCCTGGGAAAAGAGAACTGTAGTTTGGTTTATTATTGTTTCTATCTTAGGAAATCAAAGCTATCATTAGGGTTTTTAAGTTTCTATCTTAGTTCTTCAAGACTGGTTTAATATGGACCAATTTTTATGGGAACTGCAAAAGTCATAAACAACCAAGGTCTATAAATGATTTTCCTCTTAGAAAAACTTAACATACTTTCTAGCTTATTGAAAGCAGTTAAATATATATGTTAATTCCATATATTTAATAACTTATTATACTGCTGGTACGTATTTTAGTATAGAAGATTACCAAGTACAAGAATTATATTCTGCTACTTGAGACAAATGATGATAATTATAAATCTAAATAATAAAAGGTTAAGCCATGAGGCTGGCATGGTTCAGTGGTTGAGCGTTAACCTGTGAACCTGGAAATCCCAGTTCGATTCCCGATCAGAGCACATGCCAGTGTCTTGATCCCCAGTGGTGGTAGAAGTGGTGGTGGTGGAGGAGGAGGAGGAGGAAGAGGAGAGGGCGTGCAGAAAGCAGCCGATTGATATTTCTGTCTCATCAATGTTTCTCTCTCCTCCCTTTCTCCCTCTAAAATCAATTAAAAAATATATTAAAAAAAATAAAAAATAAAAGGTTAAGGTGTTAGTTAGAATCAAATTTTACTTTGACCGATTTTAGTAGGTTACTTCTTATGTTAGATTCACAGTAATCTTAAGTTAAAATATTAAAAAAGAACTGAAAGATTAGGAAAACATGTATATCTTGTGGCAAATGATACTTGCATATTAATAAAGGCTCTATTGACTAAAAAAAACACCCCTCATCTATTTCAGATAAGGTGACCATTTCATTTATCATCCAAATTGGGACACATCCACATTGAGAGTGAAAGGGGTGCTATTTGTAATGATCCTAGGCCAACACTCCTAGGCAAACTGGGAGATATGATCATCTCAGTTTTAGATGTCTCTTTGCTGGCTTTCCCCTGCTCCCAGTGTCTGCTGCCCTTACTGAATTACTTACCTGTTTAACCTCTATTCTGAAAGCCCTTGAGGGCAGACATGGCGCCTTACTCACAGCCATGGGCCTGAAGCTCTCACAGGGCCACCATGCACCACACACATACAGACACGGTAATGATGGAAGTGATCATGCCACGTTCATTTCTACTTTACCTGTGATTGTTTCTACCTTTAACGGGATCCCCTGCCTTCTACCTCCTTCAGGTAAACCTATCTTCTAGGGCCTTGCTCACATTCCACTCCTCCTGGGAAGCCCCCTTTGATTGCTCTGCTTCTCCGCCCCTCCGTCTCTGCTTCTGCCTATCTCCTGTTTTATGGTTGCTGTACATATTACATACTGTTCCACTGTGAGCTCTTGTTAGTCAGTCTCAGCTCTCCAAGTACAGGCACTGCGTTAACCCTTTCTCCAATCTCCCCCGCAGCAGGACCAAGCACAGGGCTGGCCACCAGTAGGCACTCAGGAAACACATGTTGGTACCCAGTTGCTCAGTCTGAGTCCTTCCCAAACTCAGTTAGATGACGGCAGTGGCTGGTGAAAGCAGGCAGTTCACCAAAGTGGGAGATGCTCAGGGCTTTGGGGCCAGGTTTTGATTTAGGGAACAGCCCTCATTTTTCCTGTCTTCCTTAAGTACACAGTTGTGTGTGAGCAAGATGGAGCCTGACCTGTCTGGTTTTAACATCGATGCCCCCCGTTGGGACCAGTTCACTTTCCTGGGGCGGGTGAAGCACTTCTTCAATATCACAGACCCTCGCACTGTTTTGGTACCAGAGCGGGAGCTGGATTGGGCCAAGATGATGGTGGAGAAAAGCAGGTGAGTGGTTAGGGGGAGGGGTTGGAGGCACTGGGGCAACTTTGATGGGTTCCCTACAGGAGGTGGAAGCGGAAGATGAGGGTATAGGCAGAAATCTCAGGAAGGAGGATAAAGTAGAGCAGGATGACTTGGAGTGAGAGGACAAGGGGGTAACTCTGTCCTTGGGTGACAGGATGGGGGCCGTGCCCCCAGGGACTCAAGTGGAGCAGCTGCTGTATGCCAAAAAGCTGTATGACTCTGCCTTCCACCCTGACACCGGGGAGAAGATGAATGTCATTGGACGGATGTCCTTCCAGGTTCCCGGCGGCATGATCATCACAGGCTTCATGCTCCAGTTCTACAGGTGGGATTTGGGAACAAGGCAATGGGAGGTGTAACCATTTGGGTCTGCTAGGCAGGGAGCCATATTATTATAATAGCTATCTTTATTGAAACTTTCCTGATACTAGGCACTGTGCTAAATTCTTTGAATGTGTTACCTCATTTAATTTTCTCAACAGTCCTACAGATAGGTACTATTACCTCTCCATTTTATAGATGAGAAATTGAGGCTCGAGAGAGGTTATATAACTTGTGCATGATCATAGTATTCGTACCTGGATTTTAACATAAGATAGTCCTTTCTAGAACTCTCAGTGAATAAACTATGCTAATTTCCTCTTTAAAAAGTGCTTATATTAACAATGAATTCAATGTATTTTATAATCTACACTAATAAAAGAGAAACATGCAAATTAACCATCATTTTGCTACACCCACCAGCCAATCAGGAGCAAGTATGCAAATTAACCCAACCAAGATTGTGGCCACTACAGAGTTGGAGCAAGCAGGAGGCTGGGTTTTCCCAAGCGATGGAGGAAGCCAAGCTTCCTGCCCTGGCTGGCCCTGGCCTCCGCTCAAGGTTACAAAGTTTCAATGATAGAAGATAAATAAATCCCAGATACCTGTGGAGGAGCAAGCAGGGTGATGGAGGCAGGAGGGAAGCAGGCGGGACTTTGCTCTCTTCTTTGCTTTACTCAGGAAGCCCTATTCTTGCAGGAATAGGCCCAAGGAAGCCCTATTCTTGCAGGAATCTTCCTGCAACAAGCCTCCTATTAAAAAAATAGGAAGGCCCTTTCAGCTCACTTGGGGAGAGAATAAACGTAGCTGCTGCATGTGTTCCCCTTCCTCTCTTCATTCTCCTGCCCCCTCTCCCCCCATGCATTTATTTGTCTTGTTATTGAGCCAGACTTTGGGTCCCAGCTGTTAGGAATATAAAGACTTTAGTCCTTCTTTCCCCTCAGTTTTGTTAGAGATCAAGAAGTAAGTGAAGAGTTACAGTCCAGCTTGCTAAATGGTAGATTGAGGAGAGAATATGGGATTGTAGGAGTTGGGAGCATGGGATGACTTTGTCTCAGGAAGGACAGGGAAAGGGTCAAAAAGGTTCCAAGGAGGAAGTAATCTCTCAACAGGGTGTGATTTAGCCATGTATGGAACAGTGTGAGTGTGAATGTGAATGAGTGTTGTGTGTGTGTGTGTGTGTGTATTCCAGGAAGAGGGAAAAGGCTGTACAAAAGCCCAGGTGTACAAAAAATGGGACAGTTTGGGGAACAGCTGTTAACATGGCTTGACCTGTGCATACCAAACCCTCCCTTCCATTCTCCTCTCCTTTCCGGACCTCGATTCCTGGTAGGACGATGCCCGCGATCATCTTCTGGCAGTGGGTGAACCAGTCCTTCAACGCCTTAGTCAACTATACCAACAGGAACGCGGCTTCCCCCACATCAGGCAGGTAGGAGACCCGAAGCCCAGGCTGTGCACATGGGTTTGGAGGAGGTGGCTGTCCTTTTGCCTCCAGGGGAACAACCTTTCTAGAGGGTTCTCAGGCTGTCCGTCCTCCCTGCATAGGGTTCACACTGGACAGGTGACGGAGTTTCCCCTTTTCAGGGTTTGGAAGTGTTTTCTTAGGCTGACTAGGAAAGCATCTTCTTCTTGGACCAATTCAAAATATGTTCATTCTAAAAACATTTCTTCTACATTCGTTCCACACATATGCCAGGAATGGTTCAGATGCTAGGGATACGTTTGAGTAAGGCACTGGTGGCCCCTCTTTTTGTAGACTTTAAGATCTTCTAAGAAAACAAGTTCAGTAACCTCAGATTGTCGCCATTAGGAAACACACAGTGATAAATTAGGGAACAGCAGAGAGGTGTCTGTGTAGATAGGCTGGTCAGGGAAGTCCTCAGCTGGGAGCTGGATTCTGAAGAATAAAGACTTAGCTATGAAAGAGCCCAAGGAGCCCAGCCAGTGTGACTCAGTGGTTGATCATTGACCTATGAATCAGGAGGTCATGGTTGAATTCCCCCTCAGGGTACATACCCGGGCTCGATCCCCAGAAGGGGGACATATAGGAGACAGCCAATCAACGATTCTCTCTCATCATTTTGGTTTCTATCTCTTTCTCCCTCTCCCTTCCTCTCTGAAATCAATAAAAATATATTTAAAAATAAAAGGAAGAGCCCAGGGAGGAATACCCTGGGAAGGGAGCAGCAGTGTGCAGAGATCCTGAAGTAGGAAAAAGCTGGGTGTGTTTAAAGTACAGAAAGGAAATACCTGGAATGATATATGACACATAATAGACACTCAGTAAGTATCTGTTGAATTCAAATGTAAATAAAGCACAGAAAGGAGGCCCAGGGGGCTGGGTCATCTGGAGTTAGGGGGAGGCCACCAGATGACACAGGACAAATCCCATGAGCTTCTCAAGTATGAAGCCCCATTTTCAGACTTTCTCACTCAAGCCGTGGTCTTACTCTCAGCCAGAAGGGCCCCCCATTCCTAAGCATCTCTCTCCTCCACTAGGCAGATGGCTCTTGCCTACGTCACAGCCACAACCACTGCAGTGACCACTGCTGTGAGCATGAACATGTTGACAAAGGTACTTCTGGGACTGCTGTGGGCATTGTGGCCACTAGGGGGCAGCAAAGTCCTAGGGAGAACTAGGCATTGCCCCAGTCTGAGTGAGTTGGGGTATAACCAGAGTCCAGCCAAGTAGTGGGGAATGCAGCAGGGCTGTCCCCAGGTTGGTCTTTCTCAGGCCTCTGAGGGAGTTTGGGTTCCCAGATGGATGTCTGGGTGTGTGGGAGTAGCCCTTGTTTTGTAGTCCATAAGTCAGTCTCTATCCTCATCTTACAGTGAGCCTCAGCAACTCCCATTGTTCCCTTTCTCCAACAGAAAGCTCCACCCTTGGTGGCCCGCTGGGTGCCCTTTGCTGCTGTAGCTGCTGCTAACTGTGTCAATATCCCAATGATGCGACAGCAGTGAGTACAGGGGTCCCTTTCCCTCCTTACAAGCCACAAGATCAGCAGGGAAACCAAGGCAAGAGACCAAAGCAGTGGGTGGCTTCTTGGAGCCGGGGTGGATGTGGGGGGAGGCTGGCCTCTGAAGGGTCCCCGAGGATTGACTGCTCCAATAGTGAAGGCCAGTCCAATAGAGTGGCGGGTGATTTAGGTATAATCTGTGATGGGTACGTAGGAGTCATTTTTTGGATGGTGTAGGATGGAGAAATAAGGGGAGCCTGTGCGTTTTATACTCTATCATGTCCTTCCAACTGCAACTGTATTTAAGTGTGAGCGCTGCCTACTTCCAAAGCCCTGGGGATGGTTTACAGAATGAAATGCAGCAGAGTGAGGTGTCCAAAGGAAGAACAGAGCCAAGAAGCTTTGAAAGAAGCCCGTGGAGTTAGATAGATGTTTTCCAGGTACCGGGCTCTAAGAATAGGTAAAAGGAGAAACCTGTTGTGTCTCAGTTCTTATTTCTTGACTAGAGAAAGCATAGATGTTCCTCTGTTATAACATTGAATGATGTAATATATGTCAAGTCCTCAAAATAGCACCTAGAAAATAACAAGTGCTATATAAATGTTAGCTTTTTAAGAAATATATATTTTATTGATTTTTTTACAGAGAGGAAGGGAAAGGGATAGAGAGTCAGAAACGTTGATGATAGAGAAACATCAATCAGCTGCCTCCTGCACACTCCCCACTGGGGATATGCCTGCAACCAAGGCACATGTCCCCAACTGGAATCGAACCTGGGACCCTTCAGTCCGCAGGCTGATGCTCTATTTACTGAGCCAAACCGGTTAGGGCTAAATGTTAGCTTTTATTGCTATCGTTGTCAGCATTGCCTTCATCATCATCACCAATTTCTACAGCCACATTTTCTTAGAACTGTTAGTAAATGGGAATGCATCGCACTTGCCCTTGCAGAAAGAGCCCACTACTGGAATAGTCGTGCATACACATTGCTCCTCTCCTCTCTCCCTTCCCCATCCAGTTGCTACTTTCCATCAAATGAATAAGCCCCAGCCACCTGCCATGTTTTGGATTGAGTGCTGTCAAGAACTGGCCTGAGAATAACCAGAGCAGCTACTGTTTGTGGTGCAGTCGCTCCATGTCAGACACCGGACTAAGCACTTTGCAGGCATTATCCTGTTAAAACACTGAATCCTAGGAAGTGGGTGTCAGGATTGTCTCCATTTTGCAGTTGAGGACAACTGAGTCTTTAGAAGGACTAGGGAAGTTGCTCATTAGGGAAGACACGCTCTGCAATTTCAGGGTTCCACCTAGACAGTCCGGGCTCAGGACTGGCTCTCCTAACCAATGCCCTAGATCACTTCAGATTCCACTCACTGGAGTGCAGAGGAAGGTCACAGGGCAAGGCTACAGAAGTGGCTCCCCAGAGCTTGAGTGCCCTGGCCGTGGTCCCCTGGTGTGTCACGTTGTTGACAGGCTTCCAGCACCCCTTCCCCATATCCAGCATCTCCTGTCTGTGTCTAGGGAACTCATCCACGGCATCTCTGTGAAGGACAAAAATCACAATGAGATGGGTCATTCCCGGGTGAGCAGAGGTCCTCCCTTTGGGTGGGAGGAGGGAACTCCCTTTCATACCCTTTCCTGTTCTTAGGGGTTCGAGCAGGCATGGGACCTCCCCGACTCCACTCTCATTCTCCTCAGTTTCTCCCACATTTCTCCGTTTGGGACATTTCTCATGTCCTTTCTGCATCATTTCTAGTCCTGAAGCTGGCTGGGTTGGTGAAGGTTGGGAGGTCCATCGCTTCCCCTTTCCCAGCTCAGACTTGGCTGTGACCCTGACTCTGACCCTGACTCTGGCCCAGCCATGGATACTGAATAAGGTCATTCCTAACAGCTTGCTCTTCTTTGCCTTCAGAGAGCTGCGGCCATAGGCATCACTCAAGTTGTAATTTCTCGGATCACCATGGCAGCCCCTGGCATGAGTAAGATGGGGAAGCCTTCCCCTCTGGGGGTCCCTGGAGCACACGATAGAGGCCTAAGCCACACTCAGCTTTTGGGTGGGAGGTGGAATCCCAGCTTTTACAGCGATACTTCTCTTACCGGTTTGCTTGAGCACTGAGAGCCACAGGAATACCACACTGTAGTTCTTGGAACATCAATTAATGAGACATTTTAAAATATATTTTATTGATTTTTTACAGAGAGGAAGGGAGAGAGATAGAGAGCTAGAAACGTCGTCGATGAGAGAGAAACATAGACCAGCTGCCTCTTGCACACCCCCCACCAGGGATATACCCGCAACCAACGTACATGCCCTTGACCGGAATCGAACCTGGGACCTTTCAGTCCGCAGACCGACGCTCTACCACTGAGCCAAACCGGTTTCGGCTTGATGAGATATTTTAAGTTATTTTTATTCAGCACGTATTTCTTAAGTGCCTTCAATGTACTGGACACAGTGTGGGGTGCCGGGGAGACAGTGGTAGCAAAAATAAACCCCTGCCCTCGTTGTGCTTCCAGCAGGGGCATGTTACAGAGTAAGATAAAAAGGCTGTCTACATGAGCTTTCAGAGGTAGTTTTGAGTCCTGAGGACACACTGGAGCTGGGGCACATGTTCTGTGATTGCAGGAGTGCTTGGGGAAGCAACCTCCTGCTGGGACTCGGGGGCCAAGTCAGAGTGGCCATGCCTACAGTCTGCCATTCTCCCAAATGAAAAGTATTTTCTGGAACTTCTGTGGGAGGAGGGAGAATCATTCAGTCCCTGATCTAACTCTGGAAAAGGGTCTTAGGGATAGTCCTACAGGTCCCCCCCAGCTTCTCCCTGGTTTCTTTCAGTCGTGTTGCCAATCGTCATGGAAAGGCTGGAGAAACTGCGCTTCATGCAGGTGAGTGGGGTTACCTTTTGCCTCTTCCCTGCCCAGCGTCTTCCCACCACACCTGTGCCTGGGAGCTCCTGATCCTCTCATCCTTCCCTCTAGCTTCCAGTCTTCATCTCATGGAAGTAGGGCTCATCAGACCAGTCCCCCCTGGCTGCCCACTTCAGACAGCATAGCCGGTTGGTTGGCCTTGTCTACAGAGAGCAAGGAGAGCCCTTGTTCTTTCGCTCAGGGCCAGCAGTCTTATATCTGTGGCTGGTTGGTCGCAGGGCAGGTGAGGGGTTCACCTTAAGGTATATAAGCCCCATGTGGGTTTTCCTGTTGTTTGTTTTTGTGCAGAAAGTCAAGGTCCTGCATGCGCCGTTGCAGGTTATGCTGTGTGGGTGCTTGTGAGTAACATGTTTTCTTGGTTTGGGTTCTGCGGTGGCTGGGGCACCAAGATCTGTCTTATGTCACCTGTGTTGAAAAACACGTCCTCCTTTGCCTGACTTCCACAGTGCTGGAGCTCAGTACATCTGTGATCCATCTGGAGAGTTCTCACCTCATCTTTTTGGAGGAAACCAGGCTAGCAAGGCTCTGTGCACACAGTCGCATGGAAAGCAGAGGGCTTGGGTACCCTCCTGTCCCAGGGTCTTCCCTCTGACCTCACATCTGGAGAAGAGACAAAAATGATGAGACACATGAGAGATATCTGTAATACTATCAGCAATAAAAACTATATTTCGAAGGAAAAATTAAAAAAAAAAGATGAGACAGTCCCACCATGAAAAAGAAATGATAGTGATGCGACAGGACAGAGGTGTTAGCTAACACTCAGATCATTGTGTTGCGATATGTGAATGTATCAAATCAACAATTTAAATTTCCACATTGTTATATGTCAATTATATCTCAATAAGATAAATAAATAAATAAATAAATAAATAGATAGATAAAATACACAAAGAGACAAAAATATGAGGCAGCCTGGGGCTGTCAAGTATCCCAACCTCACACAGGAGGAAAAGACGTCATGGCAGCATTATCGACAGGACATGCCCTACCATTAACCATGATGCCTCACAGGACTACAGCGCTAGCGACAGCAACAACAACTGACAATTATTGAATGTGCCCCCTGTGCTAATGCTGCACATCTATAATTTCACTTACTCTCCTCAGCCCTAGCGGCATAGATGCCCTCATCTTCTTTTACAAAAGAAGAAACTAAGGCTCAGAGCAATGAAGACACTTGCCCAATTGCTGGAGCTGAGATTGGCAGACATGCTGTACTTCTGTTTATCGAATTACTTCTTCTGTTCATTGAATGGGCACTTGCCATAGGTTGGGCGCTGTATATAAGTCATTATCTCATTGAATCCTCACAGTGACGCTGCAAAGTAGACACTCTGATCCTCCCTCTGCTGGCCCAGAGATAACATGCCCCAGACGGTGCCACTTTTAAGTGTCAAAGCTGTGATAGGAACTCAGGTCCGTGACTCTTTGTAAGACATGGTCCTGGAACTGCATCGTCTGAAAACTTGTTAGAAGTAAAGACTCGCAAGCATTTCCCGAGACCTACTGAATCAGCATCGCATTTCATAAGCCCCTGCATGCACATCGGGAACGAAAGTTTTCTGCATGCACATTGAAGTTTGACGGGCCCTGCCCTTTACTGTTCTCCTTCAGTCCAGGTGCTCAGTGAATAGGGGAGCAGGATCTTTGGATTCACACCCCTCGCTGCTTTCCCTGCATGTCAGTGGATGCTTGTGGTCTTTAGGGCTGCCGCTTACACTCCCTAGTGACTTCATGTGCTTGAACAACAGGGGTGGATTGGGGTAAGGGATGAGGGATGGAGGCTGGCTAATTTTAGTACGTACTAGAATGAGCATCCTGGCACCTAGAGACCGGGAGAAGGGTTGAAGGGAGAGTAGTTATGGAACCAGATGGGAGGCCAAGTGAATGGGCATCTGCCCTATCCTTTAGGGGGCTCAGGCATGTGGGAGGGCCTGTGGGGAAATGCCCCCTAATGCTTTGGTTTCTCCTTTTTTTTTTCCAGCCTCATCTTCATGGTGCCAGTGGCATGTGGACTCTTCCCACAGATATGGTATCAGCCATTCAATCCTTACTTTGTTTTACCAAATGTCCTGTCCCTACTCTCCCTGCCCTGCTTGCTGTCCAGAAGGAGAGAGGGAGGGGCAAGAAGGGCAGCATTTGTCCAGGGACAAGTGCCTCTCAGCCTAAACTCTGGCCCTCTTAACCCTACGTGAATGGTAAGCCAGAACATGTCTCCAACGGGATGAAGTGCTTCCTCCCAGTGCAGCAAGGGCTGCCTTAGAGAGAAAGTGGGGGAACAACAAGAGACTCTGTCCTGCTGGTTGGGTTATTAGATGAATCTCCCCTGGCTGGATCCAGTCTTTGAATTTGAACAAGGGGACAGGTCCTTATTCTGGCTCTTATTTGCCAGAGGGTGGATGACTTGAACCTCTTCACTCTCCTTGCATGTCAGGGAAGAGGAGCATCAGATGGGTGGAAGGAAGGACTGGTTCCAGGAGACCGGGTATGAATACATACCTGGAACATATACCGAGGAGATGCCACTCTCCCCTCCCTTAGTGCTCTTAGCTCAGTGGTCATCTGTTAGATGTCTCCTGTGTTCCGAGCACTGTGCCTGGAATCTTGTGGAGAAGGTGGAAGTTGAGCACCGGGAGAAGGAAGACAGGCTTGAGTAGAGGTAAAAGCAACATATTGTGGGTGTAGAGTAGCTACTACTAATTCTGAAGGAAAAAATGGGGAAGGGGCTTCTTAGAGCAGGTATTTGCGTTGAGCTTTATCTAAGGGTAATTTGCTGCTGTGGCATACTCATAACCATCTTCTCTCTTCTCAGTGAATTGCCAGTTTCCTACCTGGAACAGGAGCTCCAAGACACCATCAAGGCCAAGTATGGAGAACACGTGCCTTCCGTCTACTTCAATAAGGGCCTCTAAATGTCCCACCTCAGCAAGGACCGGTCTATCCCAATATTCACCAGCTCCTCCTCAGCTGCCAGTGCCCTCATTCCTCTTTGCCAACAGGGTCTAAGGCTAGGGTGTGTTTGGGGGTGTATGAGGCAGCAGAATTCCTCATGCTTCTACCCAGGCACTTGGTTTATTGGGCTCCAGGGGATGGAAGTTAACAAGGGGAGGAAGACCAAATCCTCTGTCTGCTTCCCCTTTTCATCCCATGGAAACCGGGAGCTGAGGCCTCCTCAGTGGGGAGTTGCTGGGACCTGAGGGGGACATTCAGCAAACCGAATGGAAAAATTAGGAAAACTTTGGGACTCTGGTTCCAGCCAGGATTGGGAAGAACCTCTGGGACAAAGAGAAGTTCCTACTCTACTTTCCTCTTCCTGTGTCATCTTCTCTTAAGCTATGAAATTTACCCTTGTAATTCTAGCTAATGCAGGAAGTATGTGTGTTGGGAGGCGGGAGGGGTAATCTGTGTCACTCTGGGGCTCATCTCCACTCCACCCCATTCTCCTCTCTCAGAAAGGTTCTTTGGGAGTGCTGCTAACCTTGAGTTTTATCAGGCACGTGGGAGTTCTTAGTGCTGCAAAGAGGTCATTGTGTGAGGCAGCAGAGTTCTGTGGTGCTCAAACTCAGTCTATTGATACTTTGTTCTGCTCTAAAATCATGTCTGATTTCACTTCCGTGTTTTGTTGGTTTTTTTTTTTAACCTTTTAAAAAATATATTTTATTGTTTTTTTTACAGAGGAAGAGAGAGGGATAGAGAGTTAGAAACATCAGTGAGAGAGAAACATCGATCAGCTGCCTCTTGCACACCCCCCACTGGGGCTGTGCCCGCAACCAAGGTACACGTCCTTGACCGGAATCGAACCTGGGACCTTTCAGTCCGCAGACCAACACTCTAGCCACTGAGCTAAACCGGTTTTGGCTCACTTCTGTGTTTAAAAAATAATTCTGCTCAGCCTGTATGGCTCAGTGGTTGAGCATTAACCTATGAACCAGGAGGTCACAGTTTGACTCCTGGTCAGGGCACATGCCTCGGTTGCAGGTTCGATCCTCAGGAGCTATCCTATAGGAGGCAGCCTGTCAATGATTTGCTCTAATCATTGATGTTTCTATCTCTCCCTCTCCCTTTCTCTCTGAAATGACTAACTCTCACACACACACACACACACACACACACACACACGCACATGTACGCATATATAGAGAGATCTAGAATGGCTGTGCCTTTGGTCACCTTGAAAAGAAAAAAAAGATAATTCTAACTGTGAGTATAAAGGATATATGTAGGCATCAACCACACATTGTAATGGGTATAATTTTCTGGCTACCTCCCTTCTTCAGCACATTAGGTTAAATACCAAAGACTGGTGTGTACTGACTAGGAAAGGGAAGCTTTATTTGGACGCCTGTAAGAGAAAACTAGCAGGACCAAAGAGCCTTCAAGGACACATAGCAAACCACAGTCACTTGCCCTTTCCATCTTGGCTGCTGTAGGCGATTTCTTACGCTCCTTGGGGGACTATTGTGGCATACCTGAGGTCAATGTCTGTGTAAGCTTTGTCTAGTAGAATTTACTGACTGTTCAACGGTACCTCTATGAATAAATTTCTTAAAAGCACAATGGACTGTCTGTAGCCTGAGTTAATAACACCTGAATGGAAAATAGGACCTGGACTTTGGCCTTGTCATGGAGGGAGGGAGACATCTTTCAGGGGAACCTACCTGTCTGAAGCCCGGAAGCCATTGTCCATTTACCTTATTACAAGGGAAAAATCCACCTGTCTTTGCTGGAAGCTCCAGAGATCGCCCAGAACGGGAGCTGTGTTGCCCCAGAGCAGGTGTTGACAAACCATGGCTCAAGGTTTTAAAGGGTTGTAAAAAGGAAGAAAAGGATATATGACAGAAACCCAATGTATGTAACATGCAAAACCTAGAATATTTACTCTCTGGTCATTTACTCTGGAAAAATAGCTCTTAAAAAATGCATCAGGAGCACCTGTTAAAACAGATCGAATGGCTTCCTCTTCCAGGATTTCTAATTATATGGGTCTGGGGCAGACCCTCAGAATTCACATTTCTGGTAATTTTCCAGTGATGATTCTACATACTATACTTGAAGGACCATTGCTCTAATGAGAAGGGCCTCCATTCTGTAGTCACAATACTGGCTGCAATTTAATTTTCTCCTCCATTAAAAAAAATTAAAATGTAATCCATATAATATAAATTCATCCTATTAAAGTGTACAAATTAGTGATTTGTAGTAGACTCAACAAAGCTGTACAACCGTAATCATGATCTAATTCCAGAACTTTTTCATTACACCCAAAAGAAACTTTGAATTAAGTCACTCCCCTCATTCTCCAGCCACAACCCTTCACAATCCCTAATCTATTTTGTCTCTAGTTTTGCCTGTTCTGGACATTTCATATATAATAAATGGAATCACATAGTATGTGGCCGTCTGTATCTGGCTTCTTTCACTTAGTTTAATGTTTTTAAAGTTCATGTTATAATGTAGAATTTGATTTTAGCTGATGTCGGAGCAGAAAGAAAAGGTCTGTGTCTGTGAGCTAGTTTTCTTAGGATAGAGATTTGACTTCAGCTTTGCCAACTTGCAAAGACAAACGGAAATCCTTACCAAAGCTCAGAAGCAGTTTGACACTGATGTTCTTTCAATAATCAACCACCTTTCCCTTTCCTTCCAAGTTTTGTAAGCCTCCTGGCATTCCTCCTCTCTTCACAGATGATTACTCTTCGGAAAAGTCTGGAGTATGCAGTGGCTATAGTTCAGAGGTACTCTGGAAAGCATTCAGACTGCATTTCAGCTCCATCTAGTAAGGCCTCTGCTTTCTTTCAGTTGGCTCTTGTCGGGGTGTGGAAATAAAGTTGGTAGAGTGACTAAAATGTCTTGGTGTGGGAAGTGCTAATCCAGACTAAGTGTTTGTCCTGTCCAGTAGCTCAGTTTGAGCTCTCAGGTAAAGGGAGAAAGGGAAGTTGGGACAAAATCCTGTCTGCCAAATAGAAGCCTTTGGGGTTTCCCAATGATGAGAATACCTTTATATGGCCATGTAATTCTTTGATGCCAGGATTAAGACCCTCTTATGAAAATAATTGGGCTCTTGCTTAGTACTCAATTTTTTAAAAAAATTTACATAAATTTCCTTTTTCCTCTATTGACCTCTCTCCCCGGCTGCCCCTAACCCCCAGTACATACCCTCACCCCCACCCCCTGTCTGTGTCCATTGGTTATGCTCATATGTATGCATAAAAGTTCTGTGTTGATCTCTTATCCCCTCACCCCCCATCTTCCCACATAGGTTAGACAGTCTGTTCGATGCTTCTATGACTCTGGTTCTATTTTTGATCATCAGTTATATTGTTCATTATATTCCACAAATGAGTGAGATAATGTGATATTTATCTTTCTCTGACTGGCTTATTTTGCTTAGCATAATGCTGCCCAAGTCCATCATGCTGTTGCAAATGGTAAGAGTTCCTTCTTTTTTATAGGAGTAATATTGCATTGTGTAGCTGTACCAGTTTTCTTTTTTCTTTTTTTCCCCTTAATATTTCTTTATTGATTTTAGAGAGGAAGGGAGAAGGAGGGAGAGGTAGAAACATCAATGATTAGAATCATTGATTGGCTGCCTCTTGAACATCGGGATTGAGCTCACAACCTGGGCATGTGCCCTTGGCCAGAATTGAACCTGGGACCTTCAGTCTGCAGGCCGACACTCTATCCACTGAGCCAAACCAACTGGCTAGGGCAATATACCACAGTTTTCTAATTCACTCATTTGCTGATGGGGCTTAGGCTGTTTCCCAATCTTAGCTATTATAAATTGTGCTGCTATGAACATAGGGTGCATATATCCTTTCTGATTAGTGTTTCTGGTTTCTACTAGGTCAAATGGAAGTTCCATTTTTAATTTTTTGTGGGAATGCCATACTGTTTTTCACAGTGGCTACACGAGTTTGCATTCCCATCAGCAATGCAAGAGGATTTCTTTTTCTCCACATCCTTGCCAGCATTTGTTTGTTGATTTATTGATGTTAGCCATTCTGATAGGTGTGAGATGGTACCTCCTTGTTTTGATATGCATCTCTTGTATGATTAGTGATTTTGAGCATATTTTCATGTCTCAGTACTCAATCTTTATTTATCCCCTATGGAGCTTGACTGTGGAGTAGATAAATTTCTAAGAAACTTGAAATGGAGAAAAATACTTGTCACCTTTTGCAGCACTTGGGAAAGCAGGAGCAAGACAGAGATAGAACTATGGACATTCTTATATTGGGACAAAACCTGTTTCCCACTTTGCCACCACTTAAGCCAAGAATGAACTCCCTGTAGGCTCAGGCATAGGCCGGATTGGGCCAGGCTGAATAATGCTTTGAGAGGAAATTTACAGCCACAGGCAATTGGTTTCTCTGTCATGGGTCTTCATTTCACTTAACTACCACTGATTAAGTTCATAGTTAGGTCCTATACAGGATTTTGTAGGGATTTCTTAGGAAATGAGTAAGACTTGGTGTGCTGTATAAAAAGCTGCAAATTTGCTCCAGCTGGCTTGGTTCAGTGGCTAGAGTGTCAGCCTTCGTACTGAAGGATCCAAGGTTCAATTTCAGTTAAGGGCATGTACCTTGGTTGCAGGCATATTCCCAGTAGGGGGTGTACAGGAGGCAGCTGGTCGATGTTTCTCTCTCATCGATGTTTCTAACTCTCTATCCCTCTCCCTCTCTATAAAAAATCAATAAAATATATATTTTTAAAAATAAGTAAAAAGCTGCACATTTAGTAAGAGGGGCCAGCCAATCAGATGCAGATTAGATACACTGAAGGGGGGAATATTATGTGAATCCAGAAGAAGAAAGGGGTGGGAACTAGGAGTTTGTATGTGTATCGTGTAAATGATGTTAAGTGTATTAGGTAACACAGCACACTGAGGATCTCCTAAGTGTACAGTGTGAGCAGAATGTGTGGGTGGCAGTGGAGATAAAGAGAAGTATGTAGGAATCAGGACACAAGACCATATTGAGAAGTTTGGACTATATTATCTTGTAGGTTGTTTGTTTGTTTGTTTGTTTATTTATTTATTTATTTATTTATTTATTTATTTATTTTTGGGGGGGCACCTTAATCCTCACCCAAGGATATTTTTTTCATCAATTTTTAGAGTGAATGGAAGGGAAGGGCCAGAGACTGAGAAACATCGATTGTCTCCCTACAATCTGAGGTAGGCACCCTTGACCAGAATCAAACCCGGGACCCTTCTGTCCACTGAGGGAAAGCTGAGACAAACACGGTGTTGTGTGTGTGTGTGAGGTGGGGGGGTGGTGGTGGTGAGGGGGTTATGAGGGTGGGGTGGGATAGTAGAGCACCCTTGTTGTGTGTAGTGTATGAAAGGAGACCATTTGTGTTTAGCCAGGAAGAGGAGAATATGGGTTAAAGCCTTTGGGGTGGACTTCAGAGCTATTTTTGTGGCAGAGTGACTAGAATTTTGCCCCAGGAACTTGTGGTGACGCTAAAGGCACTGTCTCCTAGGAACTACAAGTTGCCCTATTGCTTGGCCAGTTTGAGACCAGCAGAGGGACCCTGGTACTAAGACTGTGCTTCAAGACAAAAGATATCAAACAATTTTTAGATTGCAGTTATTATATTCTTTAGGAGCACCCGGCTACCTTCTTAAAAAAATAACATTTGCCAACACCATTTCGAATCATCATGCTCCTCTTTCTTTGCTGAACTGTGGCAACCTAGTACTTCCGCCACACTCAAGATGGCTACATCCGACTGCGACTGTTCAATACCACGCGTTCGAGGAGGCCCCGCCCCCCGACCGGAGCGACTCCTGACACTCCGCCTCCACACCGGCTGGCAGCACCCAAGATGGCCCAGCTTCCTCCTACTTTCCATTGGCTGGCTCCGCCGGTTTTCCGCCTCCGTGGGGCGGGACTTCAGTGGGGGGCGGGACTTCGGTTTGATCGACAGCCATTTGGACGAATGGACGGAGGGAACGGGCCAATGAGGCGCCGGAACCGGAGAACCTCCCCGGTGTTTGGGGGCGGGGTGTTTTGGCCGGGGTGGAGTAGAGCCGGAAGCGGGAGGGGGGGGGGAAGAGTGAAACAGGAAAAGAAGGGAAGAAGGAAGAAGAGGGAAGAGGTGGAGAGGGAGGAGGAGGAGGGTGGTGGCGGCGCCGTGGCGGAGGAGCAGGAGCAGGAGGGGGATGGAGAGGAGAAGGCTCCTGGGTGGCATGGCGCTCCTGCTCCTCCAGGCGCTGCCCAGCCCCCTGTCAGCCGGGGCGGAACCCCCGCAGGTAAGGGGGAGGGGGCGTCCGGGCCCGGCGGGGAGCCTGGGGGTCATTGAGGCCTGGGCTGGGGGGAGGCTGGAGGCGGCCTCGCTGCTAGCTGGAGGGAGCTGAAGAGTGTGGCTGTCAAGAGTTGAGGGGTCCCCAGGGGGACACCTGGGCGGGGAGTGGACAGGACCTAAGGGGGCGTCGGTGTGCAGCTGAGGGACACCTGTTCTGGTTTCTGGGAGGTTGGCAGGGGCATGGTGCCAAGCGAGTGCGGGCCTCTGAAGCGGCTAGTAGGTCAGGTGGGTTGGGATGCCTGTGACTGGGGAGTGGTGCCAAGCTGGGGTGTGTGGGGTGCATTCGTGTTCCCCGTGGAGCAAGTTCCAAGCAGCGGTGCCGCGTGTACGTCCGTGCGGGTGCAGGTCGGGCCCGTGGGCTCCCGAGCTGGCCTGAGGGAGGAGCGGCTGGGAGGATATTTATCTCAGGCTCCATGGAGCAGGGGCATGTTCTGAGGGCACCATTTTTAATAGTGCTGGAGTTAAGGGGTTGGAGGAAGGACTTGGAAGGCAGGTGGGATGAGGTTGGGGGGGGGGGGCACACTTGAGATCTCAGAAGCTTTTGCTGTTAGGCTGGCCGGCCTGCGAGAGCCGGGCGCTGACGCTGATCTGGGCTAGCCTAAGGCTTTTGAGCAAACGGATGTGCCGATGCCAATAGGGTTAGCCAGTGGAGCACCCCGAATGGAGCTTTTCTTGCTAGGTGGCTTGCTTTTTATTTAGGCAGAGAAGCTGGCTTGTATGGATTCCAGCTCCGGCTGGCATTTCGAAACCTTAATGGGAGCATTACTCCTAATGCCAAGTTGGGTGGGGTGCACCAGGGGTAATGACCCCTCCTTTCCTTGCGTTTGGCAAGGCTTTCCCATTCTGTTTTTTTTTTTCTTCACTTTCCGTTCCCTTCCCTGTCTTTGCAGACAGACAGACACACACACACACACACACACACACACACACACACACACGATGGCAGAATCTATACAGCCTAGTACTTGAACCTTGCGTTGTGATCAAGAGTAGCAGCTGAGTCCCAGCAAAAAAATACTTATCTTTTCCCTTAGGAGTTCATGGGCTGCCTAGTTACATACTGTATGCATCTTTGTTTTGTCCATTAGTATTCTTTATTTTAAAGATTAAGTGAGGTGAAATTCACATTTAAAACCATTTAACCATTTTAAAGTGAAAGATCCAGTGGCATTCAGTATATTAACAAGGTTGTGCAACCATCACTCTATCTAGTTTCAAAACATCCCAAAAGAAACCCCCCTTCCCATTAAGCAGTTACCCCCTGTTCCCCACTTTCCCCATCCCAGGCAACCACCAATATGCTTTCTGTCTCTTATGTGTCCACCTATTCAGAATATTTCATATAAATGCAATTCTACAGTGTGGCCTTTTGTGTCTGGGTTCTTCCCTTAGCACAACGTTTTCCAGATTCGTCCATGTTGTAGCATGAACCAGTACTTAGTTATTTTTTTATGACTGTGTAATACTCCACTGTATGGCTATACCACAGTCTGCTTATTCATTTATCGGTTGACGTGTCCTGTTTTTTTCCCCTTCAGAGTATATTTATGTATATTAGAAATAACATGTGAATGTAATAGAGCTCACTTTCTGGGTCAGTATATTCCCTTTTCTAAGTCTGAACTCTTTCGTTTTAGGCTTTGTTGGGGCTCTTTATTTTCCCAGTTGAAATCAAACCAGCAGGAGAAATCAATTTTCTTTGTCCATTCGAAAAGTCACCACCATTTGGACCGGTAAAATTAAGTATAAATGCTGACAGAACAAAACATAGAACAAACTGTTGTTTTCCCTTTGCACCTGTCTACTTCTGTCTCTCCAAAGGGTGTTTCCAGTTACCAGTGAAGAACTAGCCTTGCTAAAGGGTTGATTGAGGAATGTTGAGCCTCCGGAGGTGGGTGCCCAGGGTCTGTGGACTGCCTCACTCTCTTGGACGGGAGTGGTAGACCTCAGAGTCAGTGGTGGGAAACTCCCTTTTTTTTTTAGCGGGAGGCAAGTGGAGCTTCCTTTCCATGTCATGCAAGCCTGGGAGAAAATGTGGGACAGGATCTTCAGTATCATGTCCTAAGAGCAGTTTGTTGAGCACAGGCTATTTTCTTATCATGTCTCTGGCATTTCCAATACTTACTTTGGGGACAGGGTGGCTTTTGTACTTTGTTCCATTTGGATGGATGCACTGACCAGCAGCCATTATGTGGTTACAGTTCCTGCAGAGGAGGGAAGGTTTTTGGAATGAGTAGTCTCCCTCTTCCTGACCCCTTTCCTCCTCCTTAATACCCTGTCTCTTTGTCAGGAAATACTGTATATCTGTCGTGAGATTTGTGTTTTGAATCTTTAACTTTTGGAATGGGAGCTATTATATAATTATTAACTCGGAATCCACCACAGGTTAGCCAGTTTGGTTTTTGTTGGTTTTTGGTTTGTGGAAATCAGTAAAGAAAAAAATTCAGAGACCATTTTGGCACAGGACCTACTTCAGGTACGCACTGTCCTTATTTCAACAGGTGACTTTCAGCTAACCCTAAATTGAGGACTTTCCACACTCCTTGTTGAAAAGTACAACTTTTTTCCCCCCTTATGTATTTAATATACGAAAAACATGATATTTAGGTGCTTCCCTCTTAATAGCTCTGAAAGGATTTCTTGCTATCCTGGCCCAGAAAAGTTCATTAGCTTAGCTCACTTCTGTTGTTAGGAACTTAGACTTAACTCACCTATAGGTTATTGCAATTCAGTTATGAGTCCTTGAATCCATAGAGAATAAAAACAAAAACAAAAACCAAAAAAACCCAGTAAGGTCTCTAAATAGTAAGGCCTTGGCATTTGTCTCTTCCAGTTGAATTATGATTGAGATAACATAGATTTCTTTTTTTATCTTTTTGATTGGGCTTAACCAGAAAAACCTGGCTATAGTATCTAAAATAAAGATTTAGTAAAGAAGTCTTTTTCCATGAATTGACTCAACCAATGGCTTGAGATGCGGTCATTCCTTCTCCTCTGCCATGCTTAAATCTTTGAATTGGATGGGGGCCCTCGTCCCTGCAGTTTTCCCCCAGCTCTCAATGGAATACCCATTGGCCCCTAATTCCCTCCTTTACTCACCTACATTGCCCCAGTTTTCAGTCCAGAAGCCTTTCTTTCTTAAAAATGGCATTTCAGTACAATCACCAACACTCCTCGTAGAATAATGGGATAGTAGACTTCAGATTCAAATCCTCTTCCTTCATTTTTGAAGTCTGTTTTACACACTATAGTGAACAATTGTTGAAAATCAATACCTTGAGTTTCTGTAAATCCCTTTAGTAGAATTCAGCAACATACACCGAAACGTCTACTCTGCAGCAGGCTATTATTATTGCTAGGCATTGGGAACCCTCAAGTAAGTAACAGATTCCCTGTCCTCAAGGAGCTGGTCATCTTGTGGGAAAGACAGATAGCACACACAACGATTTGTAATCCAGAGAGATCAATGAAGTGCAAAGGCCAGTGGGAGCAACTGGCTCTGGTAGGGCCAGGGGAGGTGGGCGTTAGGGAAGAGGCATTTGGATGTGCTCTGAAGGATGCAGTATAGGTAGAATGTAGATCAGGAGGGGGGAGAAGCCCATTCCAGAGAGAAAATGGAGCATGCATGTGGAGGAGGCATCTTCCTATGGAGATGGACTCTTCCTATGTGGGTGTGAGAAGAGGCGTGTGAAAGTAGTGAGACTTGAAAAGTAGTTAGATGGTAAAGGAGGCCTTTGACCCATTCATTGATGCAGTGCTTATCCAGTAGAACGTTCTGTGATGTTGGAGGAAATGATCTTTCTGCACTGTTCGTTTTGGTAGCCACCTACCCACATGTGGCTCTTGCGTATTTGAAAGGTGGCTAGGATAACTGAGGAGCTGAGTGTTTAATGACATTTAGTTTTTTATATCAACTTTTTTGAGATATAATTAACATGTCAAAAGATTCATGCTTTTAAAGTGTACATAAAATGCCTTTTTATAAGTTACAGAGTTGTGTGACCATTACCACTATCTAATTTTAGGACAGTTTCAATCACCCTGTAAAGAAGCCTCATAGCCATTAGCAGTCTCTCTCCTTTTTTTTTTTTTTTAAATATATTTTATTGATTTTTTTTACAGAGAGGAAGGGAGAGAGATAGAGAGCTAGAAACGTCGATGGGAGAGAAACATCGACCAGCTGCCTCTTGCACACCCCCTACCGGGGATGTGCCCGCAACCAACGTACATGCCCCTGACCGGAATCGAACCCAGGACCTTTCAGTCCGCAGACCGACGCTCTACCACTGAGCCAAACCGGTTTCGGCAGTCTCTCCTTTTGACACCCTCCTTCCCCAGCCCCTGCCGACTGCTGATCTACTTCTATCTCTATGGATTTGCCTATTCTGGACAGTCCATATAAATGCAGTTATACACTTATGTGGTCTTTTATGACTGGCTTTCACTTAGCATAATATTCTTAAGATTCATCAATGTTGATAGATCAGTTTATCATCACATATATCAGTATATTATTTCTTTTGTTAACATTCAGTTGTATGAATTACTTCTTAACATTCAGTTGTATGAATATATCACATTTTATTTATCCATTCCTAAGTTGACGGTCATTTAGGCTGTTTCCAGTTCTGGGTTATTAAGAATAATGCTGTTGTGAACATGCGTGTACAAGTTTTTGTGTAGACATATGTTTTCATTTCTCCTGGGTATGTATGGAATTGCTGGGTCATATGGTAACTCTATATGTAATCTTTTGAAGAACTGCCAAACTGTTTTCCAAAGTGGTATGATATTTATTTTAATTAATTTAAATGAAATAGCTACATGTGGCTACTGACTACACATATTAGACAATGCAAGTCTAACAGCTTTCCAATGAGGGCATAGGGTATAGTCTAACACAGTGGTGAGGTCATGAGCTCTGGAGGCAGCCCACCTGAGTTCCAG